TTTAAAATGTAATACAAGATTCCTTATAAGATTATCTACCCTTATCAAAAAAAAAATGTCTATAAAAAAGTTAAATAAAATTTTTATGAGCCTTTGAAATTCAAATTTTTGCAACATTGGATTTTCACTCGATTTCTCATGTAGCGATTTCCATATTTTTTTTTAATTCAAAAATGAATAACTGTAGATACATGAAAATTTCACTGAATATTTATATTGGCATTTCCTATACACCATACAATTTTGAAAATATTTTGACTCTTTTTGAGTTGTTTAAGGACATTTTCAGTTTTCAATTTTTTTAGTTTTTTTTTTTATAAATATCAATAAAGTTTTATCTGTTGGGCCAAAAATTGTAAAAATTTAATACAAGGCTCCTGATACAATATCAGTTGAAAAAAAATTCATAGGCACAATTTTTTTATATAATTAGATAGAATTTTTACAAAATTTGTCAAATTTAAAATTGAATAATTATTTTGTAGTTAAACATTTATAAAATGTTTAAATTTTATATTTAAATATTGAAAATTTAAAACGAGATTCTACATAAGTAGTTTATTCTGTCACCAAAAAATTTAAAAAATACATAAGCGCAGTTTATTTTTATAGCCATTTTAAGTTCAAATTTGGACGAAATTACATATTAAAAAACCTAGAATAACTTTTTTAGTCATTTTGTTGTGATTGTTTAATATTATTCGTGGGTACTTGAAACTTCTAAAGTATACTACTATATATCTATGATTGTATCACGGTTTGTTATTGATGTATAACGCGTTATAAGTAGCTAATGGATATTGTGATATGATTAATTTGGAATTAATTATTATAGATACCTATTATTATAGGTCAATTTTTTTTAATTCCATAGATAAGTATATAATTTGTCTTATACCTATAGACTGATATACCCTCTCTGCTCAGAATCGTTTTTCTTATACAATGATATTATATCATTGAATTCAAATTCAATACCATCCATTATACAGTGACCCACTTGTAACCTACTGTACAGCAGAGCAACTTTTTTTTACTTAAGCTCATTTTCTGATAAGAAATGAATCTGTTTGAATTCGAGAATTAAGGTGCATAACCAATTGTTGACAAAATCATTTTTTTGAGTGTAACTCGGGTATGTTTTCAATTATTGTCGATATATAATTTATCGCTCTATCAATAAACTTGAAAATATAATACAAGGTTCCATATAAGTTGCTAATAGTGTAATTAAAAAAATTATTAATATCGCACCGATATGAAAATTATTAAAATTTATATTACAGTTCGAAATTCATAAAAATGTTTCTTTTCATTGCTAACGTTCATAAATTTAATAGAAGATTTCCTATAGATTTTTTTCCATTAACAAAAAATAGCTATACCCGCGGAACGAAGCAATATTTTTTTATGAGCACCTGAATTAAAAACTTTACGATATTGGATATTATTTGTAAAGGTAAATAATTTAACAAATTCCCTTTAAGGGGCCTCACTACCACGTCTTTTTTTTGTCAAAAACTACCGTTTCTAATTCCTACGATACGTGTCGACAATTATCACGATTTTCATTCTGAAAAAATATTCTGATTGTCCGTAATATATTCAAGGGAACGATAGAGCCACATTTTTAATTTTTGTAATTTAAATTGCAATAAAAATTGTAAAAAATAAAAAAAAATACAGAATTTCCAACTTAAATATTTAATTAAATAAATACAATTTTAAAAATGTGCCACGATAGATCCCTAGTACATGTTGTGGAAAATAAGAATATTTTGTCAGATTGAAAATCGATGTAATCGTTGCGACGTACTGTTGGAATTAGAATCGTATGTTTGAGTGAAAAATAAACATTTTTTCATGATCAAAATATTATATACTGACATGTGCGTGCAAGTGCGTGTGAGAGCCCTCCGTACCGCTACAATTGACCCGCATGGACGCCACACACACTAATAAATAATAATCATTTACGACTAACACATAGATCTGGGCTGGATAGATCTCAGAAATTTCCTAAATGAGATTCAATGCCATAGCGAGCCACCTTAATCGGTTTTCGATATTTTTTTAAATTTGTTCAAAGTATTTTTCATACATGTTAATAATTTCAATATTTATATAACATAATATTTTGCATCTTTTTGAGCTGTTTATAGCTCGAAATTATCGATGTTTATTAATTTTGATTATTTATTCAAATATACTAAACTAACAACGAGTCTAGGATTATAACCGTTTTTCGTCTACCTACAAAATTGAATTGAATTTTTATTTCTATTTTTTTTTGTCACTTAAAGAGTTTTATTCAATCTGTTACACAGTAGAACAATAAGAAAACTTGATGGAATAATTAACAATTATTAAGAATTAAGAATTCAAATTTAGCACATAAATAATAATTACATGCTCGACAACTATAGTACAGCAGAGCACTTCCCACTTGTCCAACTTTTTTTAACTTATTTATTTATTTACCGAAGAAATATTCCATTTTCAAAGATAGTAATTATTACAGTTAATACGAATTTAGAGAAATAATACAAATGTTCATCAATAATTCAATTTTAATACCATCCATTAGACGATTAGAGTGACCCACTGTACAGCAGAGCAACATCCACTTACCCGCTTTTTTGTATTCAAACTTCATAGAAACCTGTAGCAGTGTCTATGAATTCGTAATTTTTTTCTAATTTTTTAGGAAGTGGTGCCATCTACTTCGTTATATTTATAAAAATAATATTTTCTGAAAATCTTTATTTCATTTAATGTAATATTAAATTCCGAAGTATAATTTGGACCTTAAAACGCAATGTGGCTCGTTTACTGAAACAAGAGCATAGGGCCCAGGTCCTAAAATGATGTGTACTACGAAATTTGAAAATGTGTACCAATAATAATGTTTTTTTTTAATATTTTTACTACCTATTAATGTTGTATAATACTTTTAATTATGGTTGTAGTGTTGTATCTATTCATGGATCTTCATTAGGTTTTCATTTCATATATTCAAATTTCAATTATCAGTTAGCTTGGTTACTAATCACAAGTATAGAGTAAAATATCGAAAATCGAGTCCTATACAAACCTAGATAAACTTCTTCTCTTCAATTTGTATAATAGGTGTTCTTATACTGTTATGTCACTCAGTATGCTATATTATTTGAAATACGAAACTAAGTTTCAATGTTTCACTAAAATTCACATTTGTAATAATTAAATGCGTAAAATGCCGCGTTATTGAAATTTGCACTCCGCTATTTATTTTATACATAGTCACTCACACTAATGATCACATGCTATGCACACATTTACACGACCTGCATGAAACCAAATATAAAATTGCCTATATTGAACTCCTTTGAAACGGTCGGTATGCATACCCTTAAAAATAAAATTAGTTTATACAAGTTGAAAAAACTCAGTTATAGAATCAATTTTACACTTATGGACCTAGAACAGTTTTTTGATGAAGACCAAGCATACAGGTACAATAGGAAACAAAAGACATAATTATTAAGTTTCTGGAAATCGTTCTTTCATTGCAACACGTCATGTACAGCTGAACAGTGAACATATTATCTTAACTTACTTTAATTATAGTTTTTATACCTCGAATTGGTCTATGTTGAAACCATTGGCTTTAATATTCATTGTTAAGTTTTTAGTTTAAAACAAATAAATGTCTTAAAATAATTAGGTAGGAGGGTACCTCCTCGGTAAAAAAAATATCTGTTTAAAATTAATTATTTATTGGAATTACAAAAACAGTCCCTTAAATAAACTAATATTGTAGCATTGGTTTATACTTGCTTGATAAAGAACATCAACTTTTCAGAATTGTCTTTATTATCTGTGTACATCACTGGATATAAACGTTTGATTAAAATATAGTGTGTACCTAGTACGAAAAATTGAACATTCTAGAGCCTGATAGTGTCAGAACAATAAGGTTCATATATTCAAATATGATGCTTTTGCAACCTTAATAAATACAATTTTCAGAGCTATAAAGCTGCATATTGAGATAATAACAAACGTCATAACAATAATTATATTAAAATATTATTAATATTATTATTATTATTATTATTATTATTAAATTATATTACACTAATTTTTACTCTAATCATACTCTATTACTCCAATTTAAAGTATTTAAATTGTATATGTTTGTATTATTATAATAACTATAATGACGTCTCGTGTTAAAGCTAAAAAACTTTTAAGATTGTGTAGGTAATACCAACATATTAATTGAAACCCCTAAAAGAATAATAAAATAAGGAAACTAAGAAACAGAAGAGATGTTATTTATTTTTTACTTTAATACAAAAAGTGATATTATTATTTTGTAATAATTATAATTTAGTATACAAATTTTTACAATTCAATGTTAATATTGTTAAAAATAATCAAACATTCAAGAGACTGTGTTGCTCATTTTTTGAACTAAATAATATATAATGCTATTATTTTATTTTGCAGTTTAAGTATTTTTTAGATCAACATCAACGTCTTTAATAATATTATTGTATTAATTAAATCATAATTTTTAATACTACATACGGATTACGTTTTGCTTACGTACTGCTAAAATAATATTAAAATCAATTTTAAAGGTAATGCAAATCACAAAAGTAAAGATATTTACAAGAATAAAAGTCACTTGATTATAATCACAACAAAATTATAAATATGTATCTGAACAAAATATTTTTTTTCGTTTTCCTGAACGTTTGATTTTTTTTAGTTATGGCCTATTGTACTGACAGTGCAACACGACATTCATGAGTTTTGAATAAATTGGTTTTGAACTTTCCTAACGAGTTAATGAAATAATCGAAATATTTTTTTTTTTTAAACGTATAGGTACATTTTAGTATTTCACTAAAGTTTATTTTCAAACCGAACTTATTTTATAGATAATGGATGTACCTCATATGTATTTTTTCTATGTGTCTACCAACTACTTAGTTACTACATAATTAATTTCATAAAAACTTTAATCCGCTTTTTCCTAAACACTTTTCTTCCCATTCATCAAACATTTTCACAAACTCTGGTGTCATTTTTGTTTTACCCTCTCCAACAGTACCACTTCTCATAAAATTCCCTTTGCTGATTGAAATATCCATTGTTTTGCAGGTTAGTTCAATAAATGGTTCGCCATTGACAGCTCTATTCTTCTTCATGCTTTCAAAACTTAAATGGTTTTCCAAAACCAACAGCTGATCGTCAGGCATATATTTGCCTAAAAATTGAGCCGTTCGTCGAATTACTGACCGTAGGTCCTTACCAGAAAAAATAAATAGGTTATTAAAAAGGTATATTATATTATGTATATTATATATGTATAAGAAGATCATAATAACAAGCATTGATCAATTACCTACCTGTTTCATGTCTTCATACTTCAAGAATAGTATTTGCGAATCATTCCTTCGGTCCCAGTAGCCAAGAATATGGTCAAAAAACGGACTGTAACAAACTTAATTGTCGTTCTTGAATTGTATGTGGTATGTGCCTTTTAATTTATTTTTTATTACAAAATTTACTTACTGGAATCAGAGGCAAACAGGTTACAGAATTCATCAAAATGTCCTTTGTATTCACCAAGCATCGTTAAATGGTGGAAATATGAAAGGCAAGTGTCTTTTGCGTTTCTGGCCACGTATATGATCTGAAAGATATTATATTATAATATTTTGATATAATGTAAGTTGAAGATTAAAGAATTTTTACTGCTCCAAAAAGTACGGTCAGACACAAAGAAAAACACACATCGTTGTAAAACCAATGCATTCGTCGCTCTAATCGGAATCTAAAATAATACTTTTATACATATATAAAATACCCAGGGGTTAAAGTGGCACCAAATGGGAAAGGGTGAGATGTATATGTTATTTTGAGCTTTCCATTTAATTACTCTTGTTGATAGAGGTGGCAAAGATATCCATATTATACTTATACATATAGAATCATAATACCTAATACAGTAATACAACATTTAATTTAATTAAATAGTCACAAATACAGTTACTAGTTAGGCACATCAATTATATTTGTCTTTCTTCTTAGGACTTAATTTCATGAAATAGTTTTTTAACAATTATATACTATAAATTAACAAAATTAAATACCTATAATAACAAAATAATATCAAAAGGAACATACATATTATAATACCCTTAGAAAATAAGGCTTCATTGCAGATAAACAGTTTTTTTAAAGCTTACATATAATATTATTCACTAACAAAATAAGTTATATAATAAATAGAATATCAATAGGAACATAAATTATATTTGCTCTATGACTTAGGTACAATAGGCACATTGCACAAAATGTTAAATGTATTATAATTAATAAGTTTCAAGGCTTATCAGGCCAATATAATTGTTATCAATATTTTTTTGGTGTTACTTAAAAAACTATACTTATAAATACTGAAAAATATAAAATCATGAATTTTCATCATCATATAAATAAATAATTTTAACGGAGTAGTCAGTAGAGTTATTTTGTTCGAGCTTCAATGTTACACCGTGGTACCATTTGAAAAATTAGTTACAGGGATCTGGACACGCATTATGAGAGCAATTAGAGGAAGGTGAAACCCCCTGATGCCTCCTACTTTAACCCCTGTAAATATAGGAAAGATATAAGATGTATAAGATGTATAAATTCCTACATATGAGAAATATACGAGACATGTAAATTGTAAGTTCCTACACGGTAAAAAAAGTGTGTAAGTTAGTTATCTACCTATGTACCTATGTAATATATAATATCAGCATTACTAGCATTTTGAATGCAACAGTTGTCGAAAAAAAAACGTCCCCAACAGTAATGTTACCTATGTATTATATAATTGATATAGTAAGCGAATGGGTCGTACTTTAGCCTTGGTAGATTGATTCCTAAGTTTTTTTGGCAGAAGTTTGTACGGTAGATGAGTCTTGATATATCTTGGAGATTTCAATCCGTTTATTAACTCTAGCGAATTAGACAAATAGTTCGGTATTTTTATGTCCTGTTTTTCCAGTAAAGCTTTTTCATCGTATCGAAATGTATACAATGTACTCAATCTTTAATCAAATAAACAAGGTCAGTAAATAAATCATAGACATATAATAATATACCTACGTCCGGCGAGAGAGTGCAATAATAGATGGCTACAAAAACAAATTGCAGTCCTCATGATACGAAAAATTAGAGCTTGCGCTGTAATTTGGATGCATGCTAGATAAGTTGCGCTCTCTCGCTGGACAGAGTAAATAGTGGTATGTCGCGTATATATTGCTATAATTACTCTAAAAAATGAAATCTATCGTGTAGATTTTGTTTGGCACCTTCAAAGTCCAAATCGTTTGCAATACACCACGTCATCTCCTGGCACCATGTAGTTCCTGGGAAAAAAATATAGAATGTTTCAATTGTTTTACGTTCAACCCACTTGTAGCAAGTTACTTGTCAAGTCACAAAAACAAACACTGCTAAAAAAAATATAACAATAATAAAACTGTAGAATATAATAATTGCTTTATTATATTATTAACTGACACGGCAATACTTTGCTATTGCTAGGTTTTTGTGATTGTTCAACTCCTTTTGGGTGTACCTAATAGGTACGCTGTATTTTTAAGTGTAAATGATATTATATTTAAATTTATAGCCATCTCGTCCGGCGTTGTCTGTGGATTCGCTTGTGATTATGCAAGCAGTACATTATCACTGTTATAGGTATTTAATTTTTTTAAATTATATTCAACCCACCCCCGTAATCAATATTCTATACAATAAAGAATTAATTTAATTTAAACAATAATGATAATTGTTGTCTTAATTTTTCAAATCTATCCTTTGGAAGTGGCTTAATGAATACGAGTATGTCTGCATGTTGTTCTTCCGTCTCAATGAACTGTAGTTTAAATAAGTTTTCTTCAAACTTTTCCTTGATTAAATGGTACCTGACGTCGATGTGTTTAGTCCTTTTGTAAAACTCTGGATTTTTCACAAGTCGAATTGCACTTTGGTTATCCTCGCATAATGTTGGTTGTTCGGCAATTATACCGTTACATATTTCCTCGACTAATCTGCTGATCCAAACCAAACCTATCACTGCTTCGCATGCGGAGATAATATATTCTGCTTCAGTTGAGCTGAGTGTTAGTATGGATTGCCTCTGTGCTTGCCATGGCACTGTAGACAGCCCTAGCATGAACAGATTACTTGACGTTGAACGTCTTGTCTCCAGGTCTTCTGCATAGTCAGAATCTGAATACACACTTAAACACAGATTTAAATTAGATTTTTATAATACATCCCAAAGTTTGTTGTTCCTTTTACGTATCGAATTATATGTCTAACCATGGCCCATTGTACCAACGTTGAATTATTTAAAAACTTAGTTACATCATTTACAGCGAAGGCTATATTATATGGCTTCGTAACTTGAGATAAGAATAATAAGTTTCCTACTGGAAACTGAAAACTGATTATCATTTGTTGTTAAATTATGTTCAATACCATGCATCCATGCAACCTATCAATTGGTATAGATAACTCCTTCACATCTAATAAATTAAGTTTGCTAACAAGTGTATTAGAGTAATTTATTTGATTACATATTGATCCATCAGTGCATCTAGTTATTCTCATACCTAGAAAATAATTTAGATTACCTTGTGTTATCACATTGTTGGGATTAAAATAAATACACGGATCCGATGTACTTTATTCTAGTTTGAACTCTAATAGAAATTGCCTAAATCTATTATTCCAACCTCTTGGTGATTGTTTTAATCCATACAAACTTCTATTTAGTTTGCATACTCGTTCTGTTGAATCTCCGAATCCAATTTTTCGACTCATGTAAATATCTTTTTCTAGATTACCATATAAAATTATCGTTTTTATATCTAACTGTTTTAGTTTATAATTTTCTGCTGCCATACTACTAGAGAAAATATTTCCGTAATCTGACTATCCTAGATGTTGGGGTTTTTAACGTTTTATAATATTGTACTGAAATATCATCACAAAAGACAGTAAACTTCTTACGTATAAAAATCCTTTTAAGTATTCACATCCATAAACCAGTCCTAAAAGTTCCAGTATCGTTGAAGAGTAAGTTCGCTCAGTATCTAAAACTTTCCTAAATGCGTACCTAATCTATTGGATGAACATTTCCGTACTGATCACGTGGTTCTAGTACTGCTCCTAAAGCTCCTAAAGCTCTGATACTGGCCACTTTGTTATAATTTGAAATAACAATTAATCCCTAAGATTCTAATAGGTAGTCAATGATAATAAATATATAAATAAATAAAGATATAATGCTCACGTATACTGACGTAAAAAGAATAATACTTCACACAAGACAGCCTTCTCCTAGAATTGGTTTACACTAGCCACTCAGGTCCGAGAGATAGGTGTCTCGTGTGTTACTCGCATATCTATAAGTAGTGCATCGATTTTATAACTATGCTAATCTATATGTCTTCATAATGTCCATACACTACTTATTTGTGCTAGTTGTGATGTCCCCATTTACGGTTGTTTATTAATTATTGTAATATATTGATTACATCGATATTACAACAATAAATTGTTTGTATTTCACGAAGTACGATAATTAATAAATTGTGTACAAGTCTTTAACGTGGCTTGGCGGCTACTAATATACTATTTACGACTACAACTAAACATATTATAATGCTGGCATAATGTTTACAGCCCCATTTTATATTTGTGGAATATTCCCATAATGTTATTTTCCTATTTAAGTACATACCTACTATAAGTATAGCCGCCAAGCTAAGTTAAATTATTTTGACATATAATTGTGTCTGGACTTTACTTATAAGTTGATAAGTTTTATATAATATAGTTAAATTAATTGAAACCTGTTTTCGGGTAGCTGCAGACCCAAATGTCATCGTCTCTGACGTCCATATCTTCTATGCATTGCTCAAACTTCTTGTAGTTGACGGGTAACACGACATCGTTAACTTTTATGAATTTTGATTGATCAATGCTATTGATACACTTATTCTGAACAGATGACATTTCAGTGTCCGCGTTCGAATATGTTATGTCAGCTATTTTTACACATAAAGCTTGTGTGATTTTGCACAAAAAATTCTTCTATAGCAAGACGTAACAACTCTAGAACACGCGATAATACTAAGATGCTCAAATTAGTCTGGAGACATATATATCGTGGATGGGTAGGAGGGAGGGCAACAAAACACAACGATGACATCATAGAAACTACTAAGAAATATGGTAGTAAAATTGTTAAGCCAAGAGTTGTATTCGACTATAATAAATCCAAAGGATTTGTGAATATTTTGGACTTAAGTGGATCATATAATTTACAACTTAGACGATCACTGAAGTGGTATCGCAAAGTAGCGTTTGAAATATTAGGTATTAAACACAAGTTTATTAAGTACACTAACCTTGTTCACTACTGTGACTGGTAACAAAATGGGTATTACTGAATTTAGAGAGAGTATTCTAAAATCACTTATTCAAAAATATCAAATATCCCAAATAAGTCAAAGTGTAAACCATAAGCTAATTACATGTGTGCAGTAGCGTATCCAGAATTTTTTTTCGGGAGGGGTTATAATTCATTTTTGTCGAATTTTATCTTAAAATGATTTATTAATGATAACGTTGTTTTAATTTAACAATTTTCGGGGGGGGGGGGGGTACAACCCCCTACACCCCCTGGATACGCCACTGCATGTTTTCACTTCTCGTTAACAAACCTCAATTAAATCTTAGAAAAACGAATTAACTTGATCAACTCTTGTTTATTTAAAAAAACCACTTTCATAAAACAATACAATACTTAACTAAAACACGTACGAGTAGGCCTACGCGCTGACCACTCTACCTACTCTACTCTACTACGACTAATCAACGACCCGCCATCTAGAGGAGTTTACTCATGCAAGAGAGGAAGATGTTACGAATGCTATAATAAGATGGTGAAACAAGGTGGAAGACAGCATGCACAAAAAGTCACTCGAAAAGGTCAAACTATGTGTATAAGTTTTTCTAAGCCTTTATGTTTAGATTGTTTTTTTACGACACATTCGTCAAAAAAATATAATATTAGAGGTTTTTTATGTTAAATTTAAACAGAATTTTTTATTTTCTATAGGTACTTGATAAAATTTTCAAAATATTTGACGTGTTTTGAGGTGTTTGTGGACATTTATTATTTTCCAATTTTTAAGTTTTTTTTCTATAAATTTCAATCCAATTTTATTCTTTAGGTCAAAAATCTTAAAAATTTAATACAAGGCTCCTCACAAATTGTTACAATATCTATTTAAAAATATTAAAAATACATGTTTAAGATTTTATTTATAAGCATTTAAAGTTAAAATGTTGACAAAATGAAAATTTAAAATTATTTTACATTAAAGAACATGATATTTTAAAAAAAGAAACAAAAACAATAAATTATTATTTTGAATTTTCTTATAAGTATTGAAAACAAGTACTCGTCTCGGCTCATAATCGTTTTCGTATTCAACATAGAATATTTTAAATTTAGCACACAAATAATAATTACATACTCGACAACTACTGCAGTACAGCAGAGTGATGATACCCGGTTAGGGTAAAGAATAAATATTAAATTTTTGAAGATAGTAATTTTTACAGTTGTTACAAATTTAGAGAAATTATTCAAATGTTTAGTAATAACACTAATAATAATGCAAATATACAATACGATAATTATTTAATAATTGAATTCTTAGGTGTCTGCACAATTTAAAACATTTTTACACATTTATTCAAACGTTTTTTTTTAAACTATAGGCAATAACTTATAAAAATACAAAAATACATTTTAAAGTAATACATTTTATAGTTTTGAATAAAAATTATTATTAAAGAAATCGATATGAACATAATATAGTTTCCGTGATTCATGAGTACGATTTCTGGTAAAAGTAACGTGTAATTTATTATGCACAGACGACAGGCATGACTGACTACCGACAATGGTGATATATACTTTGAGTGGTGTCAAGTTTCCCAACAATCTTGCACAGATATACTCAAACCTAACCTAACACTGTATGAGTTGATGGCTAACAATTATTGTAGGTAGGTACACAATAATATGATACCACCCAGACGACTGGAGTGTAATGTCTCCAGTGGCCGCTGACCGGTGTTCTTCAGATACTCAGATATACCAGCGACGCGAGACTTAACTTAACTTAACACATGTAAATTAATTATAAGTAGGTACTTAACACATGTTAATTTATACTTAATAGTTAATAGTACTTATATAATATCTTATGATTGTATACACACGGTAATGCCCAAACACACGCGTGCAACAGTAGACTGCAGCAGTGGCAGATTTAAGGGGGGCCAGAGGTGCCTCCCCCCCCATTGGCCTAGAGTTTAGGTTAATAAACTGGCCGTTTTTAAATATTTGTATCGCAAGACTTGTAAAAAGACTATGGGCCCACATAAAAAAAAAATTCTAGATCCACCACTGGACTGCGCATCCATCGTACCTATATCGGAGCATCAGAGCATCTGTGGCGTGGATACTTTGTACGTCGTTCTCAAGGAAACACTGCGACTTCCGCTCGCGCTACCGCCGCTGGCGTTGATGTTCTTCGGTCGCGAACAGGTGGACTTGACCAACTTCCAGTGGTGGAGCACGTTCAAGTACGGGTTGAGAACGAATTGAAAGGCCAGAAGCACTCCCGCAGCCATTTTGATCTGCTTAATCGCCGACTTATCCGAGATGAACCTGGTCAACAGTGTTGCAAGCTGCCGGGGAGCACACGAACGTATAAAATATAAATAATTAAAAAAATATAATAAAGGACGGGCTCACAACAGATAGGTGGAATTTTGAAAATCTTAGCGCATGAAGTATGATCTAATCTATAGACGATAATGGCATTGCGTAATTTTATTATTGAATTCGTATTATTAATATTATGTGTAATTAAATATTTGCTTGCCAAATTACATACCCAATTACTTTTTACATACAACTTTGTCAAACAAATATAGTATAATAATTATTGTAAAAATAAAACTTAATTTTAATATTTAACATATTCATAGGGACTTATTTGTAGGTATATTCAGTCATCAATAATCATACATATTTCATATACCTATGTTATTTTATTATTTTTGTACCCACAGTCATTATTTACCTTTATTGTACCCATATAATATGTGTATCAGGTCCACAATTACAAGAACCACCAAAAACATGAAAATTAATTGAAATCGTAGTTTTTTGTGCATACGCGTAAGCGGGGAACATATAGAGAACTCTTAATACTTATATTGCATTTTTGTTTTTTATATGCAAATATATACACAAAACCACCACTTGTTTACAAATATGTTGGGCTCTAGCATGTCTCGAAATACAACCTATAAAATATCTTATTGAAATCCAACAGATTGCATATTATTATGTGCAAGCTAGTCAGTTAGGTATAATGGTCAATTCACTGGTCAAAAAATCAGATATAAGTTTTTCATGCTCGATTATCATTCATTAAATATAATTATAAATGTATATAGTATAGGTGTGCCTACTTACATATTATTTATAAATATTTCGTCATTGATATTATTATATTATATTTTTAATATGTAATCTATCGATAATAATATTAAGTAGGTATAAATGTGTATAGTGACATATAATATAAAATTATCGCATTTACCATTTGCGGGACCCACAATGTGACAAATCCGAGGCACACTAACAACACGAACCACCCAAACGATCTCTCTTCTTCGGTGAGCCAGTTGCGAGTCATCGACGATCCTCGGCGGTTGATATGTCTTATTAACTCGTTGTGGTTGTTCTGAATATGACTGTCCTTCACGCACAGAGCTTTCATAACGGCTAAGTTCGTGTAAACCATTGCGATGGTAAGAATAACACCTATCGTAAAAAAAAAAACGGAACATTTATATTTTATCTACATACCTAGTTATTCATAATATATATAGTATGGTGTATTCAAATGAGGAAAATGTAATACAAAACAACCCTAATTATTCTTCTGGAATAACGTTTTAGCACAATAAATTATTATACTGTAAGTTTGCGTATGATACATGGACAATTATATAGAATTCGTTTTAAAAGAGTATTTCTAGCTGTTACTTATATTATAATATACAAACGAGAGAGTGAATTAATTTCCTTTTAAGCAATTCCAAACCATTAATAGTTGTTCTTTAATATTTTTAAAAAATTACCCGACGTAATAACCGCACATTAGGTTATCTTTACTTACCGTGACCAAAGTATAAGTAAAAGTATAGCACGTCCAGAGGCTTCTCGGCATCTTGAAAATCCTTACACTGGGTCTCGTCCCAGTAGAGACCGAATCCAAAGAATGGTGCGCACACCAAACACAGTACTTCAAACCAAAGTATGGCTATCGTTCGTTTCATTAGACGAAAACTAATGTGCTGAAATCACATATTAAGGATTTCATAATCAATATTAATTTAAATGAGTTTATTATACAATGAAAATGAAATAGGTAGTATAAATTCAAAAATAAATGTGCACGTAGGGTACACAACGTTGGTTATTCGCGCATGTATAGGTACGACCTACTTAGCATAATGTGTACAAACTACTACAAAGTATATACAATTATTGATCGTTTTCATCGGTAATCCCTTAAATTATTATAGTTATTTGTTTGACCTAAATATATATTAATATTATGTAACATATATATCATACTTTGATTAAATCAATTTAAAAAAAATATTAATTTCAGTTTCCCATAACAACTATATACGACTTCGTTTTGAGATTATACTTGGGATCGATATTATGTAAATAATTAATAAATCTAATCCTGTCTCTGCAGGCTATCTGCTAATCTCAAAACTGCGATACTAATTCAAAAGTTCATCCAAAGTTTGGCCAAAGTTTAGGCTATGCTTACATAAAAGCCCTAGGTAAGGTATCGAACTAAACTGTCATCTAATTTGTCACATATCTGGAAATGTTAGAGATGATTAAAGAATAAACCTCCCAGCCACTTCTTCTGTTCATAATCTTGATGAATCGGCATCCGGCCCTTATCATTTCGTAAATGTATTCTTTAAATATTTCCTCTCTGTTTTTAAATAACTACCCCGTTTACCTTCTATTGTTTACAAAACCAATATGTATATTATTATTATTTCTTTATTTACGGAAAAAGCTGCATTTACAAAATAATCTTTATACATATAAATAATAACTATTTAGATCTTTCAAAATTTTTTGAAAGATTTACACTAAAAACTAATGATGGTGAATGACATTATAAAAAAAATTGAAAATATTGATTAGAACCAAAGTTACTTCATCAGGCAGGTCTTCCTGTTACATACTGTATAACATAAATTTTTGGTTATTATTTAATCGCGTGTCTTTAACAAGGGGAAATAGTTAGGCAATAACTAATTTTGTTGCAACCGCCCATGTGTTAGTCATCAATGATGATTAGTGGGAGTGTATTGTGATTGCGAGCACATGTCAACGGCACTGTCAATCAAAAATAAAATGCCTGATTTTTTGCTCAAAACACTCTTTCCAGGAAAAATTCTAACTCATCGTGGTCTGATTTATTTAATTTTATTCGTTATAAAGAGGATAATTTTTTATAGCGCGCATTGGAATTAGGTTTTTAATTTCACTGCTTAAAACAAAGATAACAAAAGCTTATGATAATTGGTCATATTCAAAATCAAATTTTATGACTAACTTATAAATACAATTTTGAAAATCCAAGTCCAATTTTTTCTCTAAGAAATGTTTTCTTTCAAAAAAAAAAAATATATTATCAAAATCAGATTAGTCTACGAGGCGTAAGAGTTTTTTTCGGTAAGGCATGTTTTTGAGCAAAAAAAGCAGGTCACGTGGCAGGCCTCTTAAATAAAATAGTGATAGATTCACTTATACTGAACTAGAATTAAATCATTATTTCAAAAAATGAAAATGTTATTCTAAAAGTTATGCTTAAAATAGGTTTCGACCAATCTTAATTTAAGAACTTAATACTTTTTCTTTTCTTAAGCCAACCTCTCGTTTATGAATCTCATTTGAGTCATAAGTAAAACAGCTTAAGCAATACTTATTCTTAAGCATCGACTATATGAATACGGGCAATACGGCCCTAAAATTGATCCCACTTATCATACATAACAATATGACAATGTAATAATATGTATTTTTTCCCTGCTGCAGTTCATACTACACATTCACGCCACTGCAGCTAGGGTCATTACCAATATGCATTATGCATCGATATCAATAAAAAGATACTAATAGGAAATTCCAAAGTGGTAGGGTTCCACCAAGCATAACCATAACTAACTCGACCTGACCTAACCCAGGGGCGTAATTAGGGGGGGATTAGGGGGATAGACCTCCCCAAAACTTATTTTTTACTGCTAAAATTTTGTTCAAAGTATTGGTAATGACCATTAATGTATATGCTAAAAACGTATATCCCCCCCAAACCAAATTCCTAGCCTGACCTAACCAGATACTGGGTATACACGTGGAGCAATAGAAATTCTACAGGTACCCTGTACCTACAACCTACTCACCTTTAGGTAAAAAAACGGTTTGGTGAGCGCCAGCCAGCGATCGACGGCCATCACGATGGCCGCGCACACGGTGCCCCACACGAAGAACCGAAACAGAACGCAACTCCGGCACATCCACAAGTTGTCGTTGTTATTCATCCACGTGTCGTGCATGAACGTCAGTACTAGATGGCCGACCAACAGGAAGCAATCGTTGGCGAGCAGGCAATGCAACATGAACACGTGCCTCTTGTTGGATCTCGACCGGGCCCGGTGCAGTGTAAACAGCGACAACAGGTTGCCGAATATGCCGAATATGTAGAAAGCGTACGTGAAAAAGTTGACCCAGAAGACCGGAAGCACCGGCGTCGCGGGGGACGACGACGAATCGGTTGCGTTCGTCACGGCCAACTCCATCGGATCGTGGTCGTGGTCTGCGCCTTTAATATTATTATGTCGACCGGCACGCTACCTCCCCACCACGGCACCGCCCCTGAACCCTTCCGGTCTAAGCACCTAATAGGTAGTGTATAATAAGTAATAACTATTATAACGACATTTTATCACCACCTCTATTATTTGCTCGTGTGTGTCGACTCGACTATTATTAGACTATACCTTCGTATTGCTGCAGTCGTTGTTATCGAGTAGGTATACGCTGCAGTTGATGAATTTCACCCCCGGCGGACGTCCCTGTCTCAGGGGTGCCATTACGTTATTACAGTGCACGATGTCAGAACGTTTACCGTGGTGAGATAAAAATTGACTATAATTATCAAAAATGCCAACGTCAGAGTTAATTAAAAAATTCCGCGAGACCTGCAAGTATTTATTATATTAAAAAAGAAATATAAATATAATTAACTGAGTGCACGGCAGTGGCGGGGTGAAGTGAAATATCTTATCGGTCAGTTCATTTTATGAATGACCTACCACCCATTGACTACTGAAAATAATACTTATTATTGAAGTCATTATTTTTATTAAATATCATACTCATATTATTTGTATTATGAAGTTAGTCTTGTACTTCAATTTCACACTAAATCCAGTGTAATCACTCACCCGGCACCCACCCGCACCAACTGACCCACCTATTTAAAATTATCCCAGCCCTTCAAAATCATGGTCGACTAGCCACTGGCGCCAGGTCAAGCTCAAACACGGTGGTGTGTGTATTTACATGAACCAATTAACAAGGTTGGGTTAGGGTTCTCACACTGGTATCGCTACTTCTCGCTTCCTTGGATTTTTAAAACTTTTAACATTGATTGAGCCGAATTAGGTTTTTGGATTTTAGTTTTTTGGGTAACTCTAAAACGAATTACTGTAGATACATGAAATCTTCACTGAATGTTTATATGAGCAATTTCTATACACCACAAATCTTTCAAAATATTTTGACTTGCTTTGAGCTGTTTACGGATAATTTCGGTTTTCATTTTTTTTAGTTTTTTTTTTTTTTCTATAAATGTAATTTAAATTTTATTTGTTGGATAAAAAAGATTGAAATTTTAATACAAGGCTCCAAATATATTGTTACAATAGCATTTGAAAAATATTAAAAATAGTCACATAAAGCTGGTTTTTTTCGTCTTTTTTTCATGAATTTGTATTTAATACCAATAAGTGGAAAAAATATTCACCCGGTACCAAAAGCCCGATTTTAATTTTGAAAATATATTTGGATTTCCGATTTTTTTTTTTTAGTAACATTAAAATAAAGGTGAATTTTGAAAAAAATGTATATCTATATTATTATATTATAATTAATTTGGTACTATACTAATTAAACAATACATAAAAACTATAAATACTGCATAAAACATCTTATTTCACCATTTGTACATAAAAATCCGTTAATCCACCTATAAGTTTATTTATTATTATTTTTTTTTGATTTGTAGCATCATACTCATTTAAAACTAGAAAAACATTTGTCAATAACCTTATTGTAATGCAGCTTCTAAAAATAGTAAATACTGATAGCTCAAAACTCAACTATTTATTGTAATCACTAGGGCTAGGATTTATATGCATTAGTATGTTCCTTTTTGATAAATCTGACTTTGGTTAGTCAGGTTAATCACCCAATATTGATACATAACAGATGTATGATCCTATTTGTTTTCATATTTTAAGTATAAAGCATACAATTGCAAATTTTAACTGCAAACATGATAAATGTATGGTTTATGGTAAATTTCAATGTAAGCGCATAATCTATTCAACCAAGAGTACACAGGTCGTACATACGCTGGTGCTAGCAATGGTGGTGATGAGCGATGGGAAGGTGAGTGGAGGCAGCAGCACCAATAACCGGTAGTGGAGATGTCATGACCGAAAATGCGTGATTTTTTTACGCTGCCAGGTGTGGGTACTCTTAAGTTGAATAGAGAAAAGTATAAAAAAACTAGGAGCCACATTATACTACAATCTCATGAAATCAGTTTTTGCAAAAAATAACGCTAAAATATATTGAGAATGGTTTTGATGTATTTATAAGCAAGACCAACTTGATTTGATTTACATATAAACCACCAACTTTATATATATTATATTAAAATTGAGCAGATGGGTGCTTCTCTTTCACATATTGAATATTGATAGTTTATAAATTATTGGTTAATTCACTATAAATTGTATTATGTTTTACAGATACTTAAGCATATTCCAACAAAATAAATTGCATATTTTGTATTGCGTATAAATCTTAGCCCTGACTAATTTTATAAAACTTCTTCACATTTTTTGACATTTTATACTATAATATTTATTACGTATTAATATATTATACTAATTAAGTAATTTATCTTATACTAATTATGTGTATTTTTGTTCCTATAGTCTTGCCAAAGTTCACATTGAATGAAATGGAAGTTTCATAGCAATTTATTTGAGTTCTGCAAAACCTAACATTGTTGATGCATAATTTTTTTTATATTGGAAAATGAACTCTGTCATGAAAAGTGTACTTGAAAACTGCTGTACAAAATGAAACTGGCGATAATCAATGTGCTATGTTGAAAATACTATAGTCAACTTATTAGTTGAATATGAAAAAGTAATAAAAAATATGTATTATGATAATTATTATTATTATGTTTTTGTTAGCTTATAAACTCTTAAGTTAATGTGGTGGTTATTGCTTAGTGCTTAGGTTGGGAGTAACAAATAACAATAATATGGAATGTACTGACAAAGTAGTTTGTTAGTTTCGAATTGACCAAATACATTGCTAGTTGTAACGATAGTCTTATTCATGTTTTAAAATTATGCTAATGTACCTTTTTTTTATGGTTATCAACATTGATAATAGGTTAATTTCTACCATGAGAGTAACTGAATTGTATATTTCGGGTATGACTATTGACTATTACCTACTTATTAATAACTAAATTTGTTCACGAGACGTGGTTCATTAAGATTACCCTTCTTCAAACACTTTACTCAGACAATTTAAATTCTAGGCTTTAAAAAACCTAATACATTAACTGTCTTTTACGTGGTTCAAGAAATGAATATTAATTCTATGGCACAGCGAAGAAACACTGTAGCAACATCAATGGAGATGAAGACGGCGTCTTTAATCTAATACTAAAATATAAAAGGGTAACAGCATCTAGTGAAGGACATAGCTTTACATTTATCTATGTTAAGAGATAAGTAGATAACCCAACATTTTTACCAAATTTAACAGATCTGTCCAGACTAACAAGTCCTGTAAATGTGTGCAATCATCCTGGGTATCAATTTTAAGAATAATGTATGATCCTGGGTATGAATTGTAATAAAAATTTATACCATCTGCAAAAGACAGAAGTTTACAGTAACAAGGAACACTTGAGACACTGGTTATGAATGGTGTGAATTGTATTTAGGGCAGATACAATGAGGGGGGAGAGATCGTATATATGGTAAGATTGGCAGCTCCGTCTCATTGGGCTGAGTTATTTTAAGAGATAACCACTTCTGGATCGGCAACTGGACATGTTATGATCTTGCAAGTTTATAACAAGATATAATTTTTGTTAAATAGCCAAAATTTATAATACGTAGATAATCATTTAATAACAATTTTTAACTTTGAATAGAAAAGGAAAATAGTGCAAGAAAATTTTTAAAAATATGAGGTAATCAATAAAATATAAAATACTTTTTAAATACATTATAGTTTAATATTGTTTTCGGCACCATTTAAAAACACAAGATTAATAATTTCAAAAAAAATTTGTTTTGTTTAGATAATATATTTTTTATTGTTATTATTTTTTTTTTCATTTTACGTTAAAAGCAAAATTGGCAAAGCTATATAAATAAATGATAACCGATATTACAATAATTACAACACGTAAATTAATACCATTATAATAATTAATAATAGAATTTTCGTTTTCATATATTTAAAATATAGCTTAATTTAATTAAAAATTAAAAATGATTACAAGTAATCATCTTTGATAAATAATGGCTTGAAAATAAAACAATAATAAAAATTTTGCTTATAAGAAACATCCACTGTTTCACAGATACAGTTGGCAGTTTCAACTCATAAATTTAGTATTAGTGAACTACTACGTGTCAAAGAAAGACAAAAATGACTACGTTTTCTTAGCCTTCCGTTTTGATTGAGTTTCCTGAAACATTCAATTGACAAAATTAAATATAGCAGTTAGGCGAGTAATGTACAGTTGATTTATTTTTACACTTGGCATTGTATTAGATACACAGGTAGTTTTTTTTATCAGTCGTAAAGTTCATTATGTATTTTAGGTGGATGGTAAACAAAGCGACATGTTAATTGCAGTTATTCATTCGATAATAAAGTATTCAAATTTAAAAATGAACACATTTTTAATAAAAATAGATTATTAAATTAAGATATATTGATGAGTGGCATGATGTTTTTAATTTTTTTGATTTCGATATTAACACAACAATAAATGTTCCACAATACCTACATCACTTCTCAGTTTTTGCACCAGAAAGACAATAATGTTACTTAAAAACTAAACGATACACAATTCTGATCACCAGGTATGACAGAAAAATTGATACTGATAGTTTTAAAATTATTAATTTAAGTTAGGGTCTTATAAAATAGTTAAAGCAATTTTATATGCATTGTTTGCCGTTGTCCCATTAATGTATTATAACATATTACTATATAAAATTGTCTCTATAACCAATCAAACTATTGATATAGCACTATAGCAGTACTCAGTGGCGGGCTGAAGGGCTCAATTTTTACGTTGCTTCATCAACTTTTCAAAGAAGGGTGGTGCCACCATGTGACTGAGGCTCAGTTACATACTAAGACCCGACCTCGTGGCTCTTTCGACCATATTTTATTAACTTTGTTTTAAGTTATAATGGTAAATGGGGGGTGATGGTGGGAGTAAGTGCTTAATATTAAGAAAATTTGTCATTTAAAATTTAAGTTCAGTCTGCCACTGGCAGTGTTTTATTGATATTAAGTTTTGAAATTTATTTATTGAGAAAATTTAATAAAGTTTTGAAGAAAAAATATATTGAAGTACAATAAGTCATTTTGGTATTCATTTAGTTAATCCAATGAAAGCATTTAACTGCCTCTCTGGTTTAATCGATGCTCACCACTCTCGTATTTAAGATGGTTCTAATCGTTTTTTGTTAAATTTATAGTTAGTTTTATTCTCACAATAAGTTAATTTTTTAATCAAGCCAAAGATTTAAAATATATTCTATTTTGTAAAAATTAAATTTTTTAAAAAATAATAATAATCGGAAATATCAAATTTTATTTATTAATATAAAAAGTAATAATGGTTATAATATAGAATATTCACAGAATATACTATAGATATTATAAATAATAAAGTTTTACCTGCGTTATTCAGAAAAGAAAAATTTAACTATTTAGTAACATATTTGTATACTCATTAATCATTATTAACAGTTATTAGGTACCTTTTATACTTTTATATTTCTATTTATTAAAAGAATTACTGCTGAATTGAATAATATTTGATATTATATGTGTACTGTACTACTGTGGAGATAATGTATTGTATTCTAATAACGAGTTTGATTATTATAATTTAGCTGTGGACCATTAGATAAATAAATACATAAAATTAATTTAATTATTTCCTTGGATTTCATCATAGATTTAACTTTTAAAGTATTAAAGTAGGTACTATCGTATTTATTTTTTAGTTTTAAAATTATATAAACTATACTCTGTTCCACCTAGGAGTGAACCCATCGGCTGACGAAAACACGTTTTTTCTGTGCATTCCCACCACAATCTGGACATCGGTGAAAGTTTTAACACGTTCGTCCGACGGCCGACAATGACTGTCTGCCAATCACAGAACGCATAGGCATTGCAAGGGGGGGGTCAGGGTCAGTTTGGCGGCTCAGTCTGCGTGCGCGAAAGCGGTTCACTCTTAGGTGGAACTGAGTATATGAAGTATAATGAATAGAAAATCAAAAATACAAGAGATGGGTGGGAGAATACTTTCTAGGCAGGCCTCAACTAAACCAGTACAATTATTTTTAATTGATTCCTTTTGATTCTTATCTTATAATTAATATAAAGGAACAAATTACTAATTAAAAATATATAATGATAATTACCTTGGCCTTTTTAATGTCAGCCTTTTTGGGCTCTTGTTCATCAACTGACTTGTTTTCAACATTATTTTCAACAAGACATTCTACTTTGTCTCCATTAACTGATGAACTACAGCTTACACCAGTATCATAAGCAGGTTCATCCGACGTATGTGATTGAGATGATGAAGGAGATTCTGGGGACATATCTTCTCCATTTATAAGTGGTTGCTGCTCAGACGAGTCCTTGCCCAATTTCAATTGATTTTCAACGGCTGACTGTAGTGTCTCTTTTGACTGATCAGCTGAAATTTGACCATGAAATGAGTACAAAGTCGGCCAAAAATTTAGATTTATTTACGTTTAGACTTTGAAATTTCAGTGCGCGCAAACCATTCCGCCATTGCATACATGTTGGCTTCTGTTAGACTTTCCCCAGTTTCTCCAGCTACCATATTTGGTGGCATTTCCAGGATTTTTTTCTCGTGTTCCATCTTAGACAAAAGTGACTGTCGTTCAGAATGAAGAGTTCGGCACAATTTTTGCAAGGTACTCAATTGTCGAGTTGCTACAGACAAATCACTAATAATTCTAGTACGTTCAGAGGTCATTTCATCTACAAGTTGCTGGCAACGCTCATAACGCATTTTCCAACTAGCAGACTCTTTTTCTTGTTTAACAATTTTTTTTGACATCTATGAATAAAAAAATAAATTCAATAAAAATAAAGCATCTATTATCTATATAATATTTTTTTGTTTCTACTCACTAATTCCATGTCTCCTTTAAACCCAGCAAAAACTTTATTACTTCGTGCTAGGGCATTTTGAAATTCTTCATATTTTTCATTATATAAGGAAATTTGGTTTCGCAAGTCTATTTCAGTATTCTGCATCTCCTCAATTCTGGTTTGGTATAGTCGTATTTCCTTTTGAAAAAAAGAAATGTATTCTATAAGATTACAATTTTAATAAATTTATAAGGAAAATCAAATGAACAATTTATAGAAACCTTTAATAAATGAGTCTTCTCGTTTAAAATAGTTTCTCGTTCTACACTGATTTCCATATTCGCTTTGGCCAGCTTCGCATCACATAATTGGGTCTCAAGCTCAATTTGTTTAGCTAACTTAACTACTTGCTACAACAATTAACAAGTATTCTATACTAAGAATTAATTCCTAGTTAAAACTGTACAATAATAATAATAATAATAATAATAAACTTCTATGTGCTTACAGCGCCATTTACCTGTTCTCTAAGCTCATACTGTTCGCACACATTCTTAAGCCTAGAAGACATGTCCATATTATCATCTCGAAGCTTGTTGTTTTTCTCACTATTTTGTTGCATTACTGAAGCTATTTCACTTAATGTGTTTTGAAATTTATTTGTCATTTCCATACGTTTATCTTCAGCTTCTTTGACACGTTTCAGACTCTCTTCCTGAAAAAAAAAAAAAAAAAAAAAAAAAAACATTGTTTTAATTAATTAATAAAATAAATAAACATTATATAGAACTCTATTGTTATTACTCTTATTGCTTTATTTTGTTTCTGCAATTCCCTGCACAAACTCTCCAATCTACTTCTTGTCATAACTGCTTTATTCATTTCACCTCTGACTATATCACGTTCTGTAAGTGCCTGAGATACTCTTTTTTCAGTTTGTTTATAGGCAGTCTAATATTCAGAGTAAAAAGATAAAAAATTAATACATATTCAAAAAAAATCCACTACATTTTTTAAAATTTAATTTACTTTCAGCTTGGTATTTTCTTCCATCAGATCTGCATACTTAATGCATAAGGCTGCTAGTTTTTCTTCAGGCGTATTTAAAGAATTCATACTGTTCAAAACAGTTTTCAATGCTTGAGCTAAATGACGATCTTTTTTTTTACGGTTTTTATCATTAGACGGTTGATTCGAATCGGCAATGTCTAACTCGGAAGCTTGAGTGGCTACAGATGTTGTGCTATCAACAGCGTCGGTCTGTTTGGGCAAGCATTCTGCAACTGTACTGGACACACATGGTGTATCTTTTTGATTACTAGGCTGCAAAACAAATTATAATTAATATAAACTTTAAACTACAGTTACAATAAAACTTAACAAAACTATACTAACCTGAGTAGTCTTGTCGACAGAAGGTTCTTCTGACACGGTAGGTGTAGTCTCCATGTCAATAAAATAAACCAAGTATTTTATATGTTAAAATAAACTGCAACAGTGCGCATCTATTCAAGTGTTCTTAGACTGAAAACAAAAATGTTAGTCAATACAATCGTACCTACTTATATTATTTTAAAGCAAAATGTAACGTAATGATATTTAAAATTTTAATATACATTTGAGCTATTGTCACATAAAAAAAATTGGAAATGACAGTACTACAAAATTTCATTATACTGTGTTTCAAAATATTTAAATTATCTTTCTGTAGAGTCGATGGTTATAATGTATTAATAAAAACAACAGTAACACGATACAGGTTCAATTTTAGACTGTACAATTGTTTATGATTAAGTTTCTTCAATGTATTTTCAAGGGATAAACTATGTGTACCTATCCCCTTACTTGGTGCTATGGAAATATTGATTACTACTGATTACTGTACAGACATACATTTTAGTAGGACTATAAAATATAAACTATCTATGATATAGGAGTGTGTGGATTGTCTGTCTGCGAACTGGCTACCGAAAGAAAAAAAACTGACGGGGAAACGGGACGGTATCGTGCGGCCAACGGGTGACTCGCGGTGACTGTCGAGCTGGGACGAAAAGGTAACGGAGACAAGACGATGGATGGACGGATGGACAGCAGCCGACGACAACACCCAAAAGGCAGTCCGGGGGCAAGAGTGGCGAACGGAACGCGTGTTCAGGGGACACGGCTCACCAGTTTCGAGGAATGAACACTTGCGCAGTGCCCACGACGGTGAATAACGATTGTGAATAACAATAATAACAATAATAACAATAATAATAATAATAAATAATATTATCGCATCTAGCGTTCACTGACCGAAAATATGTAAGCACGCCGGATGATTAATGTTTGCACTTTGTCGTCGTCGTCGTCGTCGTCTTCCTCGTGATCGGGCGGTGGCGGTGCGAGCGATCGGCGGCGGCGGCGGCGGAAGCAGCTATCCTGTATAAAATATTATTATTTATGCCGAGTCCGGACAAGGTGTACGGCGGCGCTGAGCGATTATGCACTGGTAAATGACCTAAAACGGCAATCGGTCGGTGCGGGACGGACCCGTACGAAGAAACGGGACGGGTAACGACAGACCGATATACATAGATATATATTATGTATATTGTTATTAATATATGTATATATACATTCAAATATATATAAGTGTAATGTAGTTATGTTGTGCTCGTAAGTGTGCGTATCTAAAGGGTCTGCTGCTGAGGCGGTGGAGGGGACTGGACGACAGGTAGTGGCGGTGGTCCGTGGTGGTAGTGGTGGCGGTCGGTGGTGGTAGTGGCGGCGGCTGGTCCCGGTGACGGACGACGATCGCGAGCCGGCGCGCCGGTGCCCGCGATACCCGCCCGCGAAATGGTAACACTGTACTCAGCCGCCGCCTTTATTCGAAATTACTACAGACAAAATATTATTAATTATTATGTCTCGGTCCGTGATGGTATACAGAGGTAAAATTATACGACAGCGCCTTGTTAAGGCGTAATGCCGCCGGAGGCACACATATTTTACCATCTCATAATATAGAAAAATAGTATATTGTGTGGCAAGGGCGGGAAGTGAGGTCTGCACTTCGCTGAAATTGCCTTCCCACACGAGCCACACATTCTATTTTTGTCACGTCTCTGCATTCATTGATCACGGCAAAGGTAATGCCGGAAGCTATGCAACAACTAGACCATAATTTTATAACAACAATATTTCATGAAATATACGATTTGGTTTTATTTATTTTAAGCGCCGCGCATTTACGCATATGAATAAAAGAGGTAACCAAAAGTTTATGTTTTGTAAGAACCATGGTATAGATTTCAATGTCTGGTCGTGCAGGGGATACACGAGTCATGTGTGCGGCCAGCACTTTTGTGGATTTTCATTTTACCGCTAGGCACTTGTTGGGGATTTCCGCTTTACAGCACGGCACTTTTTGGGATTTCCGCTTTACCGCACGGCACTTTTTGGGATTCCCACTTTCCCACCCAATGGATGGAAAAAGGAATCTTTCCAACGCTTCAACCGCCATCATTATTATGTCTCAGTCCGTGCTCAGCGATGTTATGCAGAGCTAAATTTTACGACATTACGACAGTGCCGTGTAATGCCGCTGGAGGTACACATATTTTGCCACCTCATAATATAGAAAAATAACTATTTAAATAAAACATATTATACTTCATCATATTTTTTTGCATCATTTACATCAGGTTTTTTGATAGACTCGGAATTTGATTTATAATATTACCAAAATAAAATTATTAACTTTTAAAATAGGTTCCTACATTTATCGTGCACGAGTAGGTATTCTGGTATTCATATATATACTCTGATACCTACTCAGAAGTTTAATGCTCAAAACATATAACTTGTGTAAAAAAATCAACCCGAATAAATAGTAACAACCTTTCATCAAAAGCAATAATTATAATAATTTAAACTAATAATAATTGTTTATGAAATAAATGTATTACCTATTATACGAATTACGAATTAAGAGTATTAATGAATTGTACACTTATTATACCTATTGGCTATTATAGTATGTATAAATGCATATACTATACTCATTAGCTATACGTATTTGACACTATAAACTTACCTTCTATACGCATTTACTATTTGTCTATTTACGTCTGTTGTCTATTTCTGACACATTAATAATTAGTGTTAGCCCAGATTTAGTATCCATATTATACATGAAATTATATTAATCGGAAATATTTATTTTTAAGTGGTATTTAAAGTATAATAATTAATGATAAGAGGTGAATTTCAGAGTATGTATTGTAGCTAAATAGTATAACTAATTAATAATAAGTTATTCAAATAAGTACTTACCACTCATGGTGCAAATTTAATACAATTTTGGAAATTTTCGTTTTAAAATCTAATTTTAACTATTTGGATTTTGCTTTTTTGTATTTAGTGCAACCTAATTTCACTCTTTTCGAAGACATTATTTGGAAATATTAGATACTATTACATTTGACGATTAATATGTAATATTATCAACAATTTCCAAATTATAATGATCTAAAATCTAAATACGTAATAAATTAATTAATAATTCACCTCGACTGGAAATTAATTAATTGCGTGCTTGCGTCTTATCTAAGTGTTTTCATGAATTCACAATAATGGTAAGCCAATACCTATCATAAATATGAATGACTTATGATATTAGCTATTAAGGAGAACTTTTTAGTTTTTACATTTAATAGTGTTGATACTAATTAATGATATATAATATTATTACTATAATAACTGTACCTATGTCTGTACAGTAATAAAATTGTATAATATAGTAATATCCTCGTCCATATTGAGTCTCGACTGCTTTTACGCATTGTAATAATTCAAATTTAACCAATTTAGATCTATATGTATAGGTATAAGTTTAATTATTATTGAAAATATATTTTATATAATACTTAAGTCTTTTAACATTAAATTTATAACATTTTTAATCACTGATGGAAAAATTAATTTTTTACGAAAAAAAGAAAAATGTATGAATGTAAAACTATATACGAATGCCACCTATGAAATATTTTAAAATTTTGTCGTCGGGGGCAAATGCTCCCCTTGTCAACCTTTAAACATGCCTCGTTTGCATTACGACATTACCTACTGTTCAACTACTGTAGGAGTTAAAACTTAAGGCAATTCACGCATGCGCCCAACACTGTGTGTTACAATAACTCGGGCCAATATCACAAACTTTCATTTCGATCCCCAATGTATGATTTAGAACAGGTCCGTCTTTACTCTTTAGTATTTGTGAGGTCAAGTGCGAGAATAATTGCGAAGCCCAATATACATTTACAAGTGTCTTAAAATTCCCCCTTTTTACCATCGTTTTACCTATACTTATTAGGTACCCAAACTTCAAAGGAATCGTCAATCTTTGAAAAAGTAGAGTTGTCTTTGATTTACACCCAAAACGTCATAGTAATTGGTATAATGGATACGATACGGTCCCGGGGTCCTTGAATTTGGGGGCCCGTCTTTATCCCCAAAATATATTTTTTAACGCGTCCAAGAGTTTTCAAAAAACAAAAAATTATTTAGCTCTTGAAAATTAGGTAGGTATTTCAGTTAAAAGTATTAATGCATATTATACTAAACTATAGAGGACCATACCTAATAACCTAGCTAACGAAATTGATCATTTGACTGGCAAAACGTTCAGGCTTTAAACTTAAAAGCTTTACCGGAATCCACCAAAAAATATAGTGTTTACCATTAAAAAAGTCGTTTTTATTTTTGGTACAACTACTTGTTAAAAATGATGAAAATGTTATAAAAAAAATTGCCTGTTAAAAATAAAGAAACAAGCGTCTTTTTTTATTTTAACGAAACCCCATATCATCGATCCATAATTGTTAAAAAATACTCGCGTACAATGACATAAGATACACTCTGTATATTTTTTGTATCATAAAAAATTATTCAATAATATGATAGTCGTTAATATGTAATGATACAATTATTTTGAAGTTAAAGTTAAAAGGGGGCCCACTAAGTGTATGCTGTCCCGGGGCCCAATTTTATTGATCTTTAATCCGAGCTTAGATATTATCGATATATACTCGGCATAACTCCATGGATCAAATTATGTCTATTGAACTAGTGATGGGCACAACCGAATAACGACTTAGTCGGTAGCAAATAATAAGTAAATAAGTCGGTTATTGAAGTAACTAATTATTAAGCCAACTAACGAATAAAATTCTAACTAACGAATAATAATAAACCAAATAACGAATAATAAACCAACTAATGAATAATACGCCGATAACGAATGATAATACAAAATATCTATTATAAAAATTAAATATGTTCATAGTTATATAATATTTATTTATAGTTTATACCCATTATCCATTTGTCATTAACTCATAAAGTCATAACTCTTAGTTCTTACCTAATACATACCTGCCAAAATATCAAGCAGAAATGAATAATAATAAAACATATGATCAGACTATTTATAGAAGAAAAAAGGTATATTATAATAATTTATTAATATCTGTCCGAACCGTCCGTCTTTATTTCATTCGGTATTTTTGCTTATTACGGCGATTGCTCAGTATATCGTAATTCGTAGCCCGCGATCGGTGATGGTGACATTTCAATAAATTGTGAAAAAAATATTAACATGTCAAAAAAAATACGTCGGACGTCTGGAAATATGTAAAAAAAATTATCAAACAAGCCCAATGAAGCGGTTTGTTTAATTTGTAAAACTCATTACAAACATGGTCATGGGACATCCAATTTGCATGAACATATGCGACGTGTTCATCAAATAAAATTAGATGCAGATATACGCAAATTGGAGTTGGAGAAAGATTTAGATCGAGAAAAAATAATAACCAACAAAGTAGTTCAAAAGCTGTAAATCATGGTAAGTAGGTACTAAGTACCAAACTACTGAGAATACTTAAAAGTTAAATTATAATTTGCTGCATCCTGATTCCTGAATGTAAAATCAGTATTCAGTGGCATCATTTCAGTTTTAAATTGAGGGGGCAAAAATTTTGATAAAAAAATGTACGATGTACCTATATAAATTATATTTTTGTAATAATTTCTTAAGGGGGTCGGTGGCGGACTGTTATGTAAGCCTAGCGTTTCTTAAACTTTTTTATCCGTTGAACCCTTTTGGGGCCCGCAGACGGGAATTAACTGTACCGCAAAGAATATTTATTTTTTTAATGCTATAAGTTTTCCGCACACATAATAACAGATATTTGATCTATTCTTATGTTGTATTTGGATGTATTTTGGCTCCACATACATATAATGTGAAACTTGGTTCTCCAAAATGACGTTTTTAAAGAATAAATATCGTTCAAGATTAACTGATGTCCGCCTTGAAAACACTCTGCGCATCAGTATATTGTACTCCAACAAGACTACATTTTTTTTCCAAATTTTCTGGACCGTCATAGAATTTAATTGCCGACCCCTGCTATAGAAGTATAAGTATATAGTATAGTCACTATACGTCAATACCATATACATTATTATTTAATATAAAAACATTTTTTTTCCCAACTATAAAAGCTGTGTTAGCCAAAACATACCAATCTTATTTTGCCAATCAAACTGATCAGTAATCGACCTCGGACCTAGTAATGCGATAATAATGTTTAAAATTGATTTGAATTCTTTACTATGTCTCGTTGAGATCGTTAAGTCCACTTTTCCCAATTTCAACGAAACCAAACTTACGCTTTTTTTTCCGAAATTTTGATCCCCACACATAGTACATACACGCGTAAGCACACTAATGTTCATTTACACTCACATAAATTGACATGGCCCCGTTGTACTTGCCACATAATTTGCCTAATTCTTACTCCTTAGAAAATAACCGACTGGAAGCCCCTTATTTCTTTTACACGGTCCCACACACATCATACCGACATAACTGAGAAGACCCGCATATATGTAATTTGAAAATTGCCTATTTCGAACTCCTTAAAAACTGTCCACCACCATTAATCCATATTTTTAAACGAATTCTTTAATATTTATTGAAAATTGAACAAACATTATTTTATCTAATAAATCGTTTTATGTGATAAATACATTTATTTTGTAGTTATCTATTTTTACTGTTTTATCATATTATTATACCTAAATTTAAATTAACACATTAAAAAGCAAGTAGCAACTCATCATAACAAATGATATAATAATAATTATGACTATTTATTATATCAGTAGGTATTAAAATAGTAACATCATTGCAAATGGTATATTAATATGTATTTATATCAGTGTTAAACAATTGAATAAAATATGTTCTTTTAGATTTTAAAATAGTTTTACTCATTAATAATAAAATAGTACATCCGTATGAAATCTTTAAAAAAATAGTCAATTTCAGTCATAAATTTATCAGTTGGAAAAAAATGCAATTAAGTTTTAAATACAGATTATAATAATAGCTCTTTCGTGTGCATAATATACATTTTATAGGTATTATTATTAAATTCATATTTATTTCTGAATAGCGAATATTGAATACTAAAGTAGTTAAGTTTGAAATTAAACTATATTGATACTGAATACTGAATAATTAATGAATATCAACATTATTATGATAATTTAATGGATCACATCTCAAGGCAGTGAGATTTTCTTATTTTTGATAAGTATCTTAGTCGTTGAAATAACAGACCTTACACTAGTACATGACTTAAATAGCATGTATTATAATATGTACCAGGTAATATATATTTAAGCTATGCACTAGTGTATAATCTAAGTCTAAGATAAGGACATAAGGTCCATGGTTGTGTCAATTGTGTGACAATTGTATCAAGAGGGATACAAAAATATGATTAGACATATGGAAATTGAAAGGAGTAAATGCTAAAATACCCAAGTACTATAAGCCCAGAAATAATTTTAATAACAATCCTTCATATAAATTGTTTATATTATTATAAGCGACACGTAAAATTACGTGTTGGAAAGTATTTTATCACCTCTATAGGCTAACTTTACCAATTCATTTTATAAATCATGTCCATAGGTTAAGGGGAACAGTGTGACGAGGACAACACAGGGAGGACATGGCCACTCTCATATTTTAAATTATTTTCTTAAGGTAAGTTTGGTGTATCTTCTATAAATTAAAGCTTTTTTCTGGTATATGTCCTTGTATGCTTTTTTTAAATCTGATGATGTAGAAAAACCCTGTATCACAATATTAGATTTATACGCTATTTATTTTTCGTTATGTACCTGTGCAATTGTATGAACAGTAAAATTAGAGGCTGTAGATATTTCATCACAGATATCAGTCAATGGATTTTTCCTAAGGCAGTTAGATGTCTAATCCGAATTCATGCAAGTAATGAGTTTTGAAGAGTTGCTTTTGTAAAAATAATGCCCCAATCAATTTTACTACTAGTAGAATAAACGAAAATTTCAGAGAACTTTTAGGTAATAAAATCTGACACTATTGTCTTACTTTTTGGTCACCATTACTACATTTTTACATTGGTATCAAATCCCCTAATAAAAATTTAAAATGCTGTATGAATAACATAATTATTTACTAAAATGTATTAAATTAAGTGAAAAATAATTGACCACTTATAAAAATCAACAATTTGATAATTAAAATAATAATATGCCAATTATGACTAAAGGAAGGGAAAACTAATAAAAATATGAATATATTTTATGTTTTTTAGTGTACTAAATAATGTTATATATTGATAATAAAGATATTATTGTTAATTAAATTATAAAATAAATTGTATTGTTAGAATATAATTTGTATGTGTCTTGAATTTATGTTGCATTTTTAAAGACTTTTCCTAGTATGTATCCTCGTATGAATGTATGATTTTATTAATTTGATGCCTTAAAAAACGCTATACCACAGAAAATACTACAAGAAATATCAGTAGCTCAAATTGAAGACACTTTGGAGGTCTTGTAATCGCGCCTCGTTGTGCAACCATTATATCTTTAATTGTGAATTATACATTTATACGGTTTTCTTTGGCATGTGTCCTTGAATAACTTTTTAAATGTGATCAAAGGGAAAACCATTGGTAACAAATATCACAATGATTAGGCTTTTTTTCCGTTATGTGACTTCTTACTATGCCTTCTTAAGTTTGATGCATCAGAAAACTGTAAACCACAGATATCACAACTATATGGCTTTTCTCCGTTATGTATCCTTTCATGGGTTGTTAAATTATAATTTTGAGCAAAATCTTGATCACAGAATTTACATTTATAGGGTTTTTCTCCTGTATGTGTCCTTTTATGCCTGGTCAGATGTGATAAGTAATAAAACTTTGTATTACAGACATCACATTTATGCGGCCTTTTTCCACTGTGTGTCCTTTTATGGATGTTTAAATTATACGCTTGAAAAAAAGCTTGATCACAGACATCACATTTATAAGTCTTTTCTACGGTATGTGTCCTTTTATGTCTGGTTAAATGTGATGCTCTAGACAACCGTATACTACAGATATCACATTTATATGACGGTTCTCTGGCATGTGCTTTTTTATGATTTGTTAGACATGATGCTCTAGCAAACGCTGTATCACAGATATCACATTTATATGGTTTTTCCCGGATATCACATTCATGCAGCTTATGTGTCCATGTACGCACAGTTAAATTGGATGCTGGAGATATTGTATCACGGATATTATTAAAAGGATTTTTCCTTTTGTTGTTAAAAGTGATATCCGTATTTAAACAAGTCATGAATTCTGAAGAGTGGTTTTCATTTAAAACTGTTCCTTCAAATTCCTGTTCGTCAATAATTTCTTTTTTTATATTTATCTCGGTATCAATTATGTTTTCTTTTTCTTCAGTTCTAGTTCTACAAAAAAAAAAAATTAAATATTTTAAAAATTTTAACCCTTATCAAATAAAGCCAATAAGGAAAATAAAGATAACTATACATTATGTAGATTTTAATAATACATTTGAGAATTAATTAATTTATATATTCAAAATATTATATCATACGTACATCTAGACCAAAACATTTATATATATTTATATTATATCTATCTAATATGTTTGAATATAATAAACACAATATTATAATATAAATTACAACATTTGTAGAATTTTTTTTGTGTATTTGTACACTTCAATTAGTCAAAATAATGCTTCAATTATAAACATCGGTATATTTTACGGTATCAAATTAATTTGTTATTTTGAGGGGTAAAAATTGAAATTTTGCGGTAGTTTTCAAAAGTATTGAAAGAACTAAAAAAAAAAAGTATGGAAAAACAAATTTTTACGAACAAACCAGTTTTTGAAATCGATTTTATATACATTTGAAATTATTACGTAATGTTTATATTAGAAATTTTTGTAACTGATAAAATTTTCTAATTATTTTGACTCTTAGAATATTTACAGGCATAAGAAATATTATTTTGACAAAATCACAACAATTTGCAAATTATTTTGTAGTTAAAGATGTATAAAATGTTCAATTTTTATAGTTTGGAAATGTAAAAACATGGTTTCTCATAAATATATAATATTATAGCTAAAAAAGTTGCTCTGCTGTACACTGCGTTACAAGTGGGTCACTGTAATGGGTGATGTTAAATTTGAATTCAATAATATAATATCATTGTATAAGAAAACGATTCTGAGCGAAAACGGTCAGTCAGCCTATGATATTACAAAGTATACTTGATGATATTATAGTGGATAAAATAATTTATATATAACCTGTTTACGTGGAACCTTGTTTTAAATTTTCAATCCATAGCTATAAAAGTTGAATATTTTATAAACTTTTAAGCTACAAAATAATTATAACATTTTAAATTTGATAAATTTTGTCAAAATTCGAACTTTAAATGCTTATTAAAAAAAATTGTGCTTAAGTATTTTTAATATTTTTCCACTGCTATTGTAACAATATATCAGGAGCCTTGCATTTAATTTTCACGATTTTTTACCCAACATATAATATAACTGACAATGTCCGTAAACAGCTTAAAAAGAATCAAATTATTTTCAAAATGGTATGGTGTATAGAAAATGCTAATATAAATATTCAGTGAATTTTTCAAGTATCTACAGTCATTAGTTTTTGAATAACAATAATATAACAAAATGGCTTTACGAGAAATCAAGTGAATATTCAATATCGTAAAAATATTAAATTCAAACGCTCATAAAAATTTAATTTAAATTTCTTATAGACATTTTATTTTTGATAAAGGTAGATAATCTTATAGAAATCTTATATTACATTTTAAAATCTTAGATTTAAAAAGAAAATTTTTTATGAATTTCTAACTCAAAATAATTTCCAAATTTTCGTCATTTTTACGAATTTTGTCAATATTTGAACTTTAAAAGCTTATAAAAAAATTGTGACTGGATTTTTAATTTTTTTCATCTGCCTTTGAAACAATATATAAGGTACCTTCTATTCAATTTTCAAGCTTTTGTACCCAACAAATAAAATGTTATTGATATTTATAGAAAAAAAAAACTAAAAAAAATGGTAACGGAAAATGTCCGTAAAGAGCTCAAAATATTTGGAAAATGTATAGAAAATGCTAATATAAACATTCAGTCAAAATTGCATGTACCTACGGTAATTTGTGTAAGAGTTGCACCAAAAACCAAAATCGATTTTCTCGAAAACAGATTTTGCGTGAAAATTCCTGTTTTTCCTTAATTTTTCTTTTGTTTTTCGAGGTGCTTTTGAAAACTACTAGGAAATTTTTACTTTTGACCCCCCCAAAGTACCAACTAGATTCACTTTCCTATCAGAAAAGATACTGTTGAAGAAAATCCAAGCACTTTTACTGTCCTAAAAGGTGATGATGGACACAATAAAAAATTAAAAAAATTTAAAAAAAAGCACACATCATTGTAAAATCAATACATTCATCGTTCCACTCAGAATCTAAAATATATGAAATAAATAAACACAATTCATTTTTATAAATATTTTAATTTCAAATTTGGATAAAATTAGATATTTAATCGAAGAAGAACATTTTCAGTTATTTATTTGTAATTAAAAAATATTATTCGTTAGTATCTCCTTTATAATTTTCAAGAATATTATCACATTTTATACACAAAATTACATTTTCAAAAGTTTTCGGAAAAAATTATTCCAACCTACTTTGTTACGAATAGCCAAATAAATTAATTTAATAGCAATAACATTTAAAAAATAATTTACTTAGTGATATAGGCTGACAGACTGTCAACAATCATAATTGTTTTTTTAATTTTATACTATTGAATTCCTATTTAACCCATCCATTGCAGTGTCCCACATGACACTTTATGTACAGAAGGGTGGGATAACCTTCCCAAACCATTTATTAAAAATTAACTGTATAGGCTAAACCACATGTTTAAAAGAACATTTATAATATAAAAATTGTTCTATCATATTTAATATTATACTATGGTGTAAATTTAATTCATACCCTTTTTGTGGTAATTGTCCATCATAGTGATGGTCTGTTTCATCAATTATTTCCTCTTTGAAAATTCCATTAAATACTTGTCTATCAATATTTTCCTGTTTATTAACTCCATCAAATACTTGATCACCACATACTGTATTAAGTCGTAATTTATATGACGGTTCTCTGGCATGTGTTTTGTTATGAATTGTTAGACATGATGCTCTAGCAAACGCTGTATCACAGAAATCACATTTATATGGTTTTTCCCTTGTATGTATCCTTGCATGCCTGGTTAAATCTGATACTTTGGAAAACCGTATACCACAGATATCACATTTATGCAGCTTATGTGTCCATGTACGCACAGTTAAATTGGATGCTGGAGATATTGTATCACGGATATTATTAAAAGGATTTTTCCTTTTGTTGTTAAAAGTGATATCCGTATTTAAACAAGTAATGAATTTTGAAGAGTGGTTTTCATTTAAAACTGTTCCTTCAAATTCCTGTTCATCAATAATTTCTTTTTTTATTTTTATCTCGGTATCAATTGTGTTTTCTTTTTCTTCAGTTCTAGTTCTACAAAAAAAAAAAAAAAAATAAATATTTTAAAAATTTTAACCCTTATCAAATAAAGCCAATAAGGAAAATAAAGATAACTATATATTATGTAGATTTTAATAATACATTTGAGAAATAATTAATTTATATATTCAAAATATTATATCATACGTACATCTAGACCAAAACTTTTATATTTATTTATATTATATCTATCTAATATGTTTGAATATAATAAACACAATATTATAATATAAATTACAATATTTAAAGAATTTTTTTTGTGTATTTGTACACTACAAATAGTCAACATAATGCTTCAATTATAAACATCGGTATATTTTACGGCACCAAAGTAAATTTAATTGTAATTTTGAGGGGTAAAAAATGAAATTTCGCCGTAGTTTTCAAAAATATTGAAAGAACTAAAAAAAAAATGTAAGGAAAAACAAATTTTTACGAACAAACCAGTTTTTAACGAAATCGATTTTATATATATTTGAAATTATGACGTTATGTTTATATTAGTAAATTTTGTAACTGATAAAATTTTCTAAATATTTTGACCCTTTTAGACTATTTACAGGAATAAGAAATATTATTTTGACAAAACCACAACAATTTGCAAATTATTTTGTAGTTAAAGATGTATAAAATGTTCAATTTTTATAGTTTGGAAATGTAAAAACATGGTTTCTCATAAATATATAATATTATAGCCAAAAAAGTTGCTCTGCTGTACACTGCGTTACAAGTGGGTCACTGTAATGGATGATGTTAAATTTGAATTCAATAATATAATATCATTGTATAAGAAAACGATTCTGAGCGAAAACGGTCAGTCAGCCTATGATATTACAAAGTATACTTGATAATATTATAGTGAATAAAGTAATTTATATATAACCTGTTTACGTGGAACCTTGTTTTAAATTTTCAATCCATAGCTATAAAAGTTGAATATTTTATAAATTTTTAAGCTACAAAATAATTATTACATTTTAAATTTGATAAATTTTGTCAAAATTTGAACTTTAAATGCTTATTAAAAAAAATTGTGCTTAAGTATTTTTAATATTTTTCCACTGCTATTGTAACAATATATCAGGAGCCTTGCATTTAATTTTCACGATTTTTTACCCAACATATAATATAACTGACAATGTCCATAAACAGCTTAAAAAGAATCAAAAATATTTTCAAAATGTTATGGTGTATAGAAAATGCTAATATAAATATTCAGTGAATTTTTCAAGTATCTACAGTCATTAGTTTTTGAATAACAATAATATAACAAAATGGCTTTATGAGAAATCAAGTGAATATTCAATATCGTAAAAATATTAAATTCAAACGCTCATAAAAATTTAATTTGAATTTCTTATATACATTTCATTTTTGATAAAGGTAGATAAAAAATTATTCCAACCTACTTTATTACGAATAGCCAAACAAATTAATTTAATAGCAATAACATTTAAAAAATAATTTACTTAGTGATATAGGCTGACAGACTGTCAACAAACATATTTGTTTTTTTAATTTTATACCATTGAATTCCTATTTAACCCATCCATTGCAGTGTCCCACATGACACTTTATGTACAGAAGAGTGGGACCACCTTCCCAAACCATTTATTAAAAATTAACTGTATAGGTTAAACCACATGTTTAAAAGAACATTTATAATATAAAAATTGTTCTATCATATTTAATATTATACTATGGTGTAAATTTAATTCATACCCTTTTTGTGGTAATTGTCCATCAGAGTGATGGTCTGTTTCATCAATTATTTCCTCTTTGAAAATTCCATTAAATACTTGACTATCAATATTTTCCTGTTTATTAACTCCATCAAATACTTGATCACCACATACTGTATTAAGTCGCAATGGCTCCACTCTAGGACTGTGTAATATATCATCGTAAAAAAAATAATAAAAATAAAAATTGTATCATTAAATTTCATATTATATAATATGATGTAAATTTAATTCATACCCTAATAATTTACTATTATTGTGAAGACCATCAGTAATTTTGTCAATAATTTCCTTTTTAAAAATTCCATTAAATACTTGATTTTCAATATTTTTCTGTTTAATAATTCCATTAAATACTTTATCATCACATCTAATTAGTGGAATTATCAACACTTTAGAACTTTGTATTATATCTTTAAACCTAAAAGAAAGTGCAAAAAAATTTATTTATTTTTATTTTATGTCGAAATCTATACCAGTAGGCATTATAAGTATACATGATATAAGATAACATGAGTATACAAAATATTTAGTAAAGAAGCCACCCAATTATGACACTTGATTGTTAATTTTTAAAGTTATAAAATGTATTTATTTATTTATTTATTTACGTTTTTCATTTTTTAAATTAAAATTTTAATAGGTCTCTTCTCCATTTGCGTTTTAAGCATCTGGTGAGGCTGCTTGGGATCATAAGAGAGGAAACGTTTTTAATCAAAGGGTTTTAGTGGGAGGAAAGGAGGTTGTGGAATCTATTATAAAAGTGTTTGACCTCTTCATGGATTGTTATTAATTTCAGGTCTGTGTGGAGAGTATTGATATGTATGGGGAAGTATTTATTAATTTTCTTAGGGCAATGTTTTAAGATTATTGAATTAATTGTATTCGAGTTTGTCTTTTTTGCGCTTCGCCCCATAGGTAGTTCAGAATTTTTTTTTATTAGTAGTTATCTAAAGGTATACTAATAGGTTACTAGGTACCTATAATGTATAAATTAGATAGGTACAATGCACAAATTTAATAATACATAGATTAACAAAACAACTATTTTTAAAAATAAAATGCTATCAAATGTAGTTTAAAATTGCATTTTGTAATACTACACTGGGTCATTATAATGTATTAAATTCTCACTTAGAATCTATTACGGAATCATCAATTATAGTTGGTTTAAATGGTTCCATATTGAATTATGTGATCTTTTTTGTTTGTTTTTCAATTAAGAACTGACGTACTGTGAACAAAAATCATTACAATTAGGTTTTATAGGTATACTATTATATCAAACATTCAAACCTCTAATTCGGTCTATAGACAAGTATATTGATTTGATCATAAAAGGGGTTTGTATTTGCACATAGTAAATATGTCTAGTAAAACCATTTCTTCTTTGTTGCCATAATTAAAATCAAAGCACTGATAAACACAATATGGTGATTTGTATTTGAGACATGAAGACTAGAATATTGGAAATTAATATTTAAAATTAAATATTGATAGATTATGTGTTCAAGGCAAGATTCCAGATTTCAACTATTTTCCAACAGCTCATCGAGTAACGGCCGGCACCCGGCTTTTCGGCATGCCCGACCACTGCGTGACAGTGACCGATGACCATAGATAAGTATATAAAAGTGACCAGTGACCACTAACCAGTGCCCGAGCCCGACTCGCGCGAGCTGATATCTCGGATTCCGATTTCCGATTTATTCTAAGACCGTGCCCGAGATTAAGCGCTATCAGCAGGGTGCCCGCAGATGCAACGCGAAATGTCTTTACGACGGACATAACCTGCAAAATATATCAATCGCGAAGTCGTCACGTACTTTAGGGTCATTATACGCTGCGGGACAGACTGTGGACAAGATACATAATTTATCATTACTAGATGTAAACAAAATTGAAAATAGTCGCACTCTACGAGTGTCGAGTTCGACGAATAATTATGTCTAATTAGTGCACAGTGCACGGACTACGATCGGATGATGATTGAAAATAAAGGGTAATTATATTTTTTACTTACCTACTAGTTTTTTCACGTCAATTGACAATAATCGAATTGATTTAACGTCTTCGAATGTTACCAATAACAAAAACTTTTGTTGGAATTATATACATCATTTGAATGTACCCCCAAAATGAAAGTACTTATAAAAAAATATTTGTACAATGTATGTTTGAACCGTGTGTGAGAATTCTTTTCATTTTCTTGAGATTTTCGTTCGTCACCTTTTAGTTTTTACTGTTGACAGGTGATGTGCAAGACGTTGGGTTGTCATTATGGACACCGAGTCTATAAGGTCCATGAGTGAGTACAGTTCCAAATCCAAATACAAGAGTCACTCACTAAAATCTGGTACTAATCATAGATCTAACAGTTATAAGTAAGTTTTTTAGATTCTTTATTCACAAATTATAGTTTTTAATCATTATTGACATCTTCATCTGTAGAAACAACACTCGGACTGCTCGCAAATATTCTGATAGCCTAAATAATCCATACGAAACAGCTATGGCACCATACCAAACTACTGTGATGTTAGATGATACAAGAGATGGACAAGATGTTGTTGAAGTGCAAATATTACCTCAAGTAATTATTAATATTAGTCCATAGTATAATATTATTGCAATAATTACTACCTAGGTATATTTTTTTTTCTTTTATTATTCAAGTATTAGTAATTACTTATTATATTTGCTTACATATATATATTTATTTTTCATTCATATTGGTACCTCTAAGTAATACTTATGCTGTTCTGAAATTATTAATACACTACGGAATTCACTTTACATGGTTTTCAAAAACTTTCAATCGTTTTAAGCATTTACATCATTCAATAAACTTTGATAACTTATTACAGTAACTTAAAGTTTCCTTAAAATTGCAATAATATTTCAAATATTTTATAAAACTATTGTATTATTTATTGTTTATTAACATTAAAGATAAATGATCATAATATTGATTTTTAATGTTTAACATATTGCTATGTTTTTATAGGATGAAAATTGGGGTGAAAACACTACAGCGATTACTGGTAATACTTCAGTGCAATCTGGATCGATGGAAGAAATGGGAGCTCTATGGCCAGACACTGAGCAAAAAAGCGCTTTTCCAATATTGTGCCATCGTTATATAGCTACTACATTGACTGGGCTTTTGTCCCTAGTCGCTTTTCTTAGCCCGTTAGCTATGCTAGTTTTACCAAAATTAGGTAATTTATTCATAACCAATTATTTAATATCCCAATTACTTTTTACCTCATTTATGTATAGTACATTAGCTTAAACTTTGAATATCTAGGTACTTATTAATTATCTTACATTGAAAACTAAGGCATCATGTATAATTTTTTAACTCTAAATTACAGTAATTTCTGAATTGTGATATTTGCAGGAATAAAACGTTTAAAAACAATAGTTATTATACTAACATGATATAAATAACATATTAAATTAATTCTATACATTTGTATTTTTTGGTTTAGGTGTTTTTAGTCCTGCAGCTACAAATCTTAGCCCTCAGCAAAGAGAAACCCTATTAAATTGTGGCGCAGAGTGTAAAGGAGTGTTAGTTTCACTGGCATTCAAAATGTTTTTGTTGGCTGTGGCATCATGGGCAATTTTCCTACGCCCCGTGAAAGCAACTATGCCTCGTATTCATGTTTTTAGAGCAATTGTCTTAGCATTAGTGTCAATTTGCAGTGGAATTTTTTGGCTTTTCTATGTAGTTCAAGTCACGGAGGGTAAGTTTTAAAATTCATTATCTAATAAATAGTTGTTAATTATATAATATGACAGTCTGTATTCTCAAAATCAAGAAATTTAATTATCTTTCAATAATTAAAATAATGAATACCTATACAATTATATTTTTTGTATTTTTAGGTAGTAGGAATGAATTTAAATATTTTTTTATATAAAGAAAAATACAACCTTATACCTATATTGTTTATTTTAACTTGAACATAAATTCTGGTTGGAGTAAAAGGTTATGTAAGAAATTGCATTGACAATGTTCACTGATTAAATCTAAAACATTGAATTATCGCAGAATTTTGTAAATTAAATACCCAATGTCAAATACTATATTATGAGTTGTTTAAAAGCTGGATTGAACAATATATTTATTATTTTCATTTTAGATTCAACTTTAATACTTTCCCTAAAGGTTTACAATGTTAGTAGAAAATATTATTAATGGTAATTAATTGATAGTTAATTATAATAACAGATTTTAGTTGTCCAAATGCTCTAGGAATATAGAAGCGCCATTAATAAGAGGACCACAACTGCATGTGTTATCTTTGTCTTACAAGTGCTAACATACCAAATTTACGCTCAGCAGACCTAGTTTAACTCTATTAGATTAAATATTGAAGTGAATTGATCTATAATGAAACTTGATGGTAAAAACATTATCTGAGTTCATATATTGGTTTCTTACGATAATACATTTTTTTAGCAAGTTACGCATGTATAATTTAGCTTAAATTAAAAATGCTCTTAAGTTATAACTCACTTAAAAACTGAATAATCGTGAAAAACTGACATACGATTACAGATAATGTTCTTACCATCATGTTTCATAATATTTCGATTTACTCTAATGTTTAAACTAATGGTGCTAAACATGGTCCGCTGAGCTTAAATTTTTTATGTTATGGACTTGGAAGACGGAAAAACCACATTTGGGTGTGGAATTCTCTTAAAAATACCCAATAATAAATATTATGATGAAATAACCAATAAAGTTAATATTCATTAATAATTTGTCATGATTAATATATTCCAACTTGGAAATCAAATGTTAAAAGAATATTTCATATTAACATTTATAACATTTATTTAACAATTGGTATAGCATTTCAAATTATGATAGTTTATTTTATAATATAATATAGTTTTTGGACCCCTGATATTATGAAATTGTAACGGTCGCAGATGGCCAAGATGAACTGGACATGTAATATTCTCTAAATGAGATAAAAATCAAATAAGTTGTTGGAAACACCTGTACTTTTCTTTCCATTTGATGTTATAAGTTAAATAGTATATGTTATGAATATAAATAAATTATTTTTTTAATGATTCTGTTTATTAAGTTGTAAAATATAACATTTATTTTAAATAATATTAAATTTTTCAGGAGTACGAGCCACAGCTACAGGTGAAGATTTGCTCGAGTATCGTGCCTTGGTATCCTATTCGTCTTCCCTATGTGATTGTCTACTTTGTATTCATTATGTTGCCATAGTGCTAATGGAAATTAGACATCTTCAGCCAGCTTTTTACATCAAGGTATATATTAAATAAATAAAGTTACATATTGGTTTATCTTGTACAGGCGTCATCTGTTACTGCACAAATGATCAAAAACCACATGGGACAAAAGCAGATATTGATATTACCACACTGTCTAAACTCTAAACACAACATATTTTATAGAATTTTCAAAAGTTATCAAATTGCCATTATAGATTATGGTCATTTTTTTCTGGCATAAAAAGGAACTTATAAGTTATAGAAAAAAATAAAACTTGTACAAAATTAAATCAAATACTTTTAAAATTATTCTGTTTTGGGATATGAAATTTAAAAAGTATGTTGTCGTTCAAAAATACATTTGTTTTTAATAAAATTATTTGATGGCACCAAATCATGTAAAAACTTTTCAAAATAATGAGTAAAACGCTTAAATATCCCTTTGCTTAAAGGATGACTTCAATTATCTGCATCAAATATCTGTTCGTGTATTTTAAAATAGTGAAAATAATATTTCTTAATTATAATTTTTTATAATTTGAATAAAATAATCTATTTATTTATATGTTTAAAATGTAAATTTAGATAGGCTAAGAGATTTTATAAATTTATGATGTAACAGGCCACGAGATATGATGAATTTCTGCGGTATTGTACTGTTTGGTATGTGGTATTGGGCTATGCATTTTGTGTGGTAATAGAAAGAACTGCTTGATATACAGTTTAAAATAATTATGAATTATGATAATTATTTTATACTCTATTTGAAACTGGAGCATAATTTTAGTGCTAAACAACATTGTCCAGTAAGGATAATATTTATCACCAACCTTATTCTACCTAGACCCTTTTAACTTTTACAAAGGTGAAAATAATCATAATTAATTTAAAGCAAAAATGTATTAAGTTGTAATGATAACAACACTTAATTAATTTTCATTCTATCTATTTATTATGTAATATCTTATCATACTTATTATAAATTATAGGTTGTAAGAAGTCCTGATGGTGAAAGCCGATCATATCCTATTGGTCAGTTAAGCATTCAGAGAGCCGCTGTTTGGGTTCTTGAACGATATTATACTGAATTTTCTATATACAATCCATACTTAGAGCGTTTACCAGTTTCAAAGTCTAAAAAGAATGCTTCCAGCTTTAAATTTTATGATATTGAGGGTATTGGAAGTAACACACTCCAAATGAGTCAATCCAGAGGTACAATGAATGGCCATGCTAGACGTCGTGATTCAAGTCATAACGAACGGTTCTATGAAGAACATGACTATGAGCGACGAGTTAAAAAGCGAAGAGCTAGGCTCTTAACAGCTGCCGAAGAAGCATTCACCCATGTTAAACGATCACATCATGATCCTGGTAATTATTTTACGTTTAATATTATGCCTAATTTTATTTTCAGAATGATTATAATTACAAGAAACGGTTTTTTGTATTTTAAGGAGGTGGTTCTGCCATGGATCCATATGAAGCTGCTCAAGCCGTTTTTCCAACGATTGCGCGATCTCTTCAAAAGTATTTAAGAGTAACCAGGCAACAGCCGAGGCATACTGTAGAAACCATTTTGTCTCACCTTGCTTTATGTTTAACTCATGATGCTTCACCAAAAGCATTTTTGGAACCTTACTTGAGTGCAGCTCCTGTGTTACAAGTAATATGTTCAATTAATTAATTAAAATATTATTACAATTTTTACCAACATATTTTTATATTATTTTCTTTCTAGAATGAGAAAGAACAAAAATCACTTCAATCCTGGTCATTAATTTGTAATGAACTATTGACCCGAGCACTCAAAGATGGAACCGTGTTTCAACTACGCCAAAACGATATTTCACTTCTGTGTACAGTACATAAGCTTCCCCATTTCAGTATTTCTGAGGAAGTTATCAATCCAAAATCAAATAGATTTGTTCTGAAGTTGAACTCTGAAACTTCTGTCTAAATGTATTATTATTTTCAACATGTAACTATTAGTGACTTGACAGACCAAGATCTGATGTATTTTCTAGTCTTCAAATTTAATTAAGTATAAACTACTTAATTTTTTAACAGTATTCGAGGTATGTCTCAAAAATAAGTGTACTAACTTTTTTTTTTATAAATGTAGAACATATTTATATAAAATAACAAATTATTTTTTATAAATTCATGACCCTTTGGAGATAGGTCCATCTCTAAGATTTTTTTTTTGGTAAAAACTCATAAATCAAGTCAATAGGTGTATAGTCAAAGTAGAAGTATCAAATCATCTGCAATATCCCTTCAAAATCTTGGTACTAAGTCCATAAGCAACAGTTAAATTTTCAAACTTTTCATATGCAGATTTTTAAATTTCACACAATATTTTATTTGGTATTGTAGTTCAATATTTCCGCACCGATCATGACGTGATACTTGTATTAATTTATATAGTTCGAGGACATTTTAACCTATTTGCTGATATATCATTTTATAGTCCAATATTTTCATGATGTGCACAACAAATTTAGTGCACTTACTTTTGGGTCATACCCAGTGTTGGGTAGTAACGTAATATGCGTTACTCGTTACTGTAACGTAGTTACACTTTTCAGTAACATTATGGTAACTTCGTTATTATTATTTTTAGGTAACGCAAGAGTAACTACGTTAATTATTTAGAAGTAACTTAACTTTTTTTTTGGGGGAGGATGAGTAATTCACGGGGTAGTCTCCTTCCCCTCGTTGCCGCATCATAAAATGTAATTGTATTAATAATTTAAGTAGGTATTTATGTAATTGCAACATTTTCCCAGTAAAATCTAATACAATTATATAAATAAACGATGTTGTGTTAATATTATTTTCAATTTAACCGAACAAATTTTTGTGAAGTTTGATATGCACTCCCTTTGAGTGCTTCTGTTAAGGCCCTTTAGTGTAGCTAGAAATATTTGTACAAAAAAACGAGCTAAATTAACTGATCAAAATTTTGAAAATACATTATTGTATAAAATAAATATAAAAAAAGATTGATTTAAAATAAATTTTTTTTTTTATGAAACTTAAATATCATAAAAGTAACGTCATTGTAACTAGTTACTTTTGAGTAAAAAATGTAACGTTACGCATTAATTTTGAACTTGAGTAACTAACAAGTTATCTAGTTATCTATTTTATTTTGTAACTTGTAACGTAACTTAGTTACTTTTAAAAAGTAACTTGCCCAACACTGGTCATACCTCATATATAACTATTATAGTATTAATGTGTTTTTTTAGAAGACTTCTTTTTATCTGCTTATTTTCAACAATTGACATCATTTAATTTACTAGTTATCTATCCTATATATATAATTGAATATTATCCTATTGCAAAATAACAGATTGATCTACACTTTTCTCCTTGATCTTGATAAATTAATAAAAATGACCTTATTTAATCTAGATCTTCTTCCATAATATTTTATTACAATCACATAATTTTTTGAAATAAAATTACCATTTTTTAAATTGTATAAAAACTTTTTTTATTATTTCAAAAAGACTGTTAAATAAAAATAAATTATTTTTTTTATTGAAATACCAATTGTAATATTTTAAAGCTCAATTCATCGGGGCCATATACCTATTTTTTTTATTACAATAGCAATATTGCCATAATGGTCCAAACTTTTATTCCTTGTGATGTGTCAAGATATTTTTATCACAGTTTTATTTTCAGTATTATTTTTTCTTAAATTTTATTACTATTATGTTTTATACATTGAAGTTATATAACTAATTTTACATTAGTTATTTTTTTGTTTATTAACTTTATATTTTAAATTTATATTATTTTACTAGAGATAAAAATATATTATTGTATTTAATTAGCCTACATTTAGTACCTGTTTTATAAAATGATTGTGGTACTCAATATTGTTTTTGGGCTGAATGGGTCTCTATACGCACAAAAAATATTCTAAATTTATTGATAAGATTATTTTTAATCAATGTATGAATTGTAAACCTAGTTAACTAATGACATTATAATAAATACATTTTTGTAGTGCAATTTTTTTTTTACAAATATATCAACATTTGTTTTATACCAAATTATATTTTAGTTTTAATTATTAAGTCCCAAATGTAATGTATGTGACAATTATGAACTAAATAAAAACATATTAATCTAACATTATAAAATGTTAATATTTTAATATGAAATATGAAAATAAATGTTCTTTCAATTATTTAATATTTTTATTTTAATTTGTATATCACTGGTATCAATAACCTAGTAATCAAAATATAATATATTTATGCCATTTAAGTATAAATTAAGTTGCACTGGTATATTGTTGTAAGTTGTAACTCTCTTTGACCCACACGCAACATAGCAAATTTATTATTATCAGAACCTACCCTTTCCCTGTGTTGTTACTTTTAATATTAGAGTAAATTCATCTATTATCAAACGTTATGCTAAGAATATTACCCGTGTTCCTATGTAGCCTCTTTTTACGATATTTTACTTTTTGTAAAATTTATAAGCATATTTAAATTGTAATAATTATAATTTACACACTTAACTTACATAAACATTTAAATATCATAAAATAGCCAACTCGGGGACACTTATATTATGTTCTTACCTTAAAGTTTGATAACAGGTGAATTCACACTTATATTAAAAGTAATAACGCAGTTGTTTCTGCTAAACGTAGACTTTTTATATTGTGTGTGGGTCAGAGAGAGAACACAAATAGTGCGCTGACATCCTCTTTAAGACTTGACTGATGTGATACATTATAAGATTTTGTTATAATGTTTTAGGTAAGATTTGAAGAAATCAAAATTTTTGTTGAATGATATATCTACACAGCAGAATATATATTTAGACAGCAGAGTCTTATGTACAATAGATAATTTATTTGTAACATTATCAACTGGACGTTTCCAAAGGTCAGTCAACCAGACTAAAATTAAATCTTCCTAGTTTCAATAAATCATAGTATACCTTGAACGGCTTGCTCATGCACAGATTGGTTAAAACGGTTGATATTCATTTCATATTATTAATTTATTTTAACATTATTGAAAATAATTTAAATAAACTCTCGACATCGGTATAGCTAAATAACCTATCGATGGCGCCGTGTCATAATTATTGCACCACAATCGTCAATCACGGCATCGATATTATAAGTTCGTTTCAATAAAACAATTATATTACACATTCATCCAGTATTACGAATAGTCATTAATTAAGGTAGGTAGGTCGTAGGTACCTATAGGCTACATTGTACCTATATTGCTATCGCCTACGTAAATTTATTTTCTCGGCGTCTCATAATATTATTATTTTGTTATTGCGTGTCAACAGACTAAAATAAAATAACATTATAATACCTACTATATAAAATATATAGGTAGGTAGGTATTTAATAAATAAATTACTATAATATTTCGTCAATGCATTTCGATATCTTTATTATATCTGTATGAATATAATATATATGCATACGGATTTCTTTCAATCACTCAGACTCAGCATCTCAGTTTGATTCGTTTATCCTAACTGAACAGTAGGAATCATGAATGTAAATATTACTGAAGTTTTTGTAACCCGTCATGGTAAAAAGTGCATTATAATATTGGTAATTTTCAATGTAGTGAATTTAGAATAAACAAGGACGAATGTAACATTTTTTGTTGTATACCAACTAAACGTAACTGTAACATAACATGAATACATTTAAACAAAAAAATAATGAATTTAAACTTGATAATGATATTAGGAAATATTTATATGACATCGCGGTTCACGTTATGTCGGGAAAAAACTAAAATTTTATAATAAATAAAATAATCAAATACGTTTTTTGAATTAAGTAGATTTAGTATTTTTGTAATGGCCCAATGAAATAATGTAATATTACGTAATACAAAAAATATTTTTAAATTAGTTACAATAAAAAAAAAAAATTGGGAAACAATTATAAGCCAATGCAACCTCCCCGTGGTGTCTCCTGGGTAACGTTATGGACTCTAAAAAATAAAATAGAAAAAAATGCGTACCGAACGTATTGGTGCTCAAATGTGGTATTATTATAAAAAATATGATGTACTCAAACGTTGCATTCATTTTTGATGTCTGAAAAAATCTTTACCTAAACATTTGTATTCTTATTTTTTTTTTTTGCTTTTATAAGGTATTAGGTAATTGAACGGTTTCAAGATTTTGGGCAGCCCATGAATTGGTAAAACCTGAAGCCCATGTGCTCGTCAATATAGGTACCTACATAATATTATATTTCATTTTATATTATTCCGATATGACATAATAATAATACAAACATACAATATTGAATATAATATAATAATATTCAAATAGCAGTCGCATCATGCGGCTGTACCTGGACGGTGCACATTATTGTCTCAGGGACTATAGCCAATTAGGAACCGTTCGACAATGGTCAATTAATCAATTTGACAAGCCGATTTTCAAGATTTAGTAAGTAAAAAATATTGCTATAATAGCTACTCTTCTTTCATAAGATCGAAAAAAAACCGAATATAATATAACAATGTATAAATATATACAGCGTGCGCTCCTTACGCCAAAACGAAAATCCATTCTAATTGGCCAAATGTTTCACACAGCAACAATTTAATGACCAGACACGTTTGTATGGTTTTTTTTTTATTTTCGGCCGTTTCTTCATCCCGGCCAAGGATGATGACTATTGTTTTTTTACGTATTCAATTTTATTGTTTATGTATTATAAAATATATGCGTATATATTATATAGAATTCAGGATAACGCATTATTCCTTCGACATATTTTTATTTCATAAAATATTATAATAATGATGTGTACAGTTCATAATATGTATTATTAGCAATCAATAATTAACACTTCTGGTTCTCATTGTCTTGCATATTGATTTGGACTACCGTACACATATGTGTTGGTATTTTGAAAATTATCCTCCGTTC